GGTCGGGAGCCTTCTTCACAAAGAAAGAAGGGTCCAGACCCGAAACGTCAACTTTCCTGCTCCTCTGATACTGCCTGGCCTGCTGTGTTCCTCCAGCTCCATACTGTATTGCCAAGGTCAAAATCACCTCTTAACGCCTCAGTTAACAACTTTAATGGTGGAGTAAGAAGCCACTTATCCCCATTGGCTGACAATGTAATGAGTGGCACTATGTGACATAGCACGGGTTAGCATAAGGCTCGAAGAATTTGATCCTGCTCCTATTTTATATACAACAAGCGTATGTACAAGGGGAATGTAGGTAAGAATGATTTTCTATGAATGGAGCAAGTGAATGGTCAAAGGGAGTCAGGCATAAACAGACATGAGGTTATCCACTTTGGATTAAAAAAATGAGAAACAGCAGCCAACTTTCTAAATGGTAAAGTGCTAGTCGGCGGGAGGTCAAAAGAATGTCTAGCTATGTACATATTTTTAAAATGTCATCTAGAGCCATAGGGATGTACAGCACCCTTTACTCCAACTCGTCCATGCCTACTAGGTATCCTGTATAAATCTAATCCCATTTGCCAGCATTTGGCCCATATCCCTCAAAACCCTTCCCAATCATGTACCCGTTCAAATGCCTTTTAAATCTTGTAATTGTACCAGTCGTTACCACTTCCCCTGGCAGCTCATTCCACACACAGACCACCCTCTGCATGAAAAAGTTTCCCATTAGGTTCTATTATAAATCTTTCCCCTCTCAACTTAAATCTATTAGGTTCTATTATAAATCTTTCCCCTCTCAACTTAAATCTATTTCTGCTAGATGTGGACTCCCCTACGCCGGGAAAAAGAACTTGACTATTCACCCTATCCATGATGATCAAAGGGAATATGGAAATGTTGGCCCTTGTATCTAGAGGGCCGTGGTACAAGGGGTTGAGAGTCTTAACTTAGCTGTAGAAGACCCTGCTCAGAGCACAAAGGGAGCAGTTCTGGATCCCACACCTTGGCCATAGTGGGAGTTCAGTGCACATATATCAGGAATATGCCTGGAATGTAATGATAAGGAAATTGTCAAGCTCCCTGGAATTTAGGGAGGCAATTCTAGAGCTTGGCATCCAGGTAGTTGAATGCATGACTGCCAACAGGGGTGTGATTAAAATTGGGATGACCAAGAAGCCACGAATGGGAGAGATTTTTCTCCCTGGAGTGTCGGGTGCTGAGAGGTGACGTTACAGAGGTTTATAAAATCATGATGGGCATGGATAGGCTGAATGGCTGAGGTCTTTTTTCCAGTTTAGGGGAGTCCAAAACTAGAGGACATAAATTTAAGGTGAGAGGGGAAAGATTTAAAAAGGACCTGAGGGGCAACTTTTTCACACAAAGGATGGTGCATTAATGGGATGAGCTGCCAGAGGAAGTGGTGGAGGCTGGTACAATTACAAGATTTAAAAGGTAACTGGATGGGTATATGAATAGAAAAGGTTTAGAGGATATGGGCCAAATGCTGGCAAATTGGAAGAGATTAATTTAGGGTATCTGGTCGGCATGGATAAATTGGGCTGAAGGGTCTCTTTCTGTGCTGTACATCTCTATGTCACTGTGACTCTGTGACTATAGTTAAAATATAAACAAAAGAAAGAGGAATTTAGAACAATTTAACTCTATTGGAAAACTTAACTAGATTAATTTAGGATATCTTGTGTTGCAAACAAGTTGGAACCAAGGGTCTGTTTTTGTGCTGCACGACTCCGTGACTCTGTGGCTTTATTTGTGCGGCTGGATGAGATTGTAGTGATCGGGAAAGGTAGGCTCCTGAGAGGACTTGAAAATGAGGTGGACAATTTTGAAATCACTGTGTTGCTTGACCGAAAGACAAAAAAGGTAAGAGGGAGGATCTTATTGGATAAATTGATTGGGCTTTAGGACAGTAAGCACACCAAGCTAATGCAGTGTCAAAGCTGATAATTTGGCAATTATAATGTCTAAGTTTGATATGTGAGAAGTGGCCCTAGAAAGTTAAGTCCTCAGTATCACATTTTGGTAAAACAAGCAAAGGCAGAGCTGAAAGAGTTAAAAGTAGGGCCTTGGGTAGAGTTGTCAAACAGAGAGACCTAGGGGTTCAGGTACATAACCCTTTAAGGTTTGCATCACACATAGAAAGGATGGTTAAGAAGGCATTTAACACACTTGCCTTCATTACTCAGACCTTTGAGTATAGGAGTTGGGACATGTTAAGGTTGTACAGGACATTGGTGAGGCCTCTTCTGGAGTACTGTGTCCAGTTCGAGCCACCTTGTTATAGGAAGGATATTATTAAGCTGGGGAAGGTTCAGAAAGGATTTACCAGGATGTTGCCGGGAATGGAGGGGTTGAGTTAGAAGGAGAAGCTGGATAGGCTGGGACTTTTTCCACTGGAGTGTCGGAGGTTGAGGGGTGGCCTTAAAGAGGTTTATAAAATCATGAGGGGTATAGATAAGGTGAATGGCTTTTCCCTAGGGTGGCAGATTTCAAGACAAGGGGGCATATTTTAAGGTGAGAGGAGAAAGATTTTAAAAAAGACAGGAGGGGCAATTTTGTTTTTAACATAATGAGTGGTTCACATGTGGAATGAACTTCCAGACGAAGTGGTGGATGCAGGAACAGTTACAACGTTTAAAAGAAATTTGGATAAGTACACGAATTGGAAATGTTTGAAGGGATGTGGGCCACGCGCAGGCAGGCGGGATCAGTTTAGTTTGGGATTACGGGCAGCATGGACTGGTTGGACCAAAGGGTCTGTTTCTGTACTGTATGACCCTATGTCTCTATCTCAGGATCAGGGAAAGAGCGTATATTCATAAAGAAATCTTGTAATGCCAATGAGGGGGAATGTCATTCAACATCAACTCCAGGTGGTATAGATAGGGTATCTGACAGCTTTCTCCAATGTCAAAATTGTAATTGTAACCAATGGGTTGCAGCAGTTCATAAGGCAGCTTACCATCACTTTCTACAGGGCATCTGGGGATGGGCAGTAATGCTGGAACCAAAAATGCATTCAAAAAGAAAGATAACAAGAGAGAATGAATGAAGGTTTCTCCCACTCTACTTCTTATGTACTCCATTCAAAAATCTTCAGGATGCAATATGAGATCGATACACAGAATCAAATTTTGTCTAAATTATGTGCTTAACACAACTATTGGAAAGTGTGAAATGACAGGAGAATGCCAGATTTCAATGAAGTCAAGTTACACATTGCTCCTCTGTGGAAAGTATCTTGGAGTAAAACCAAACTATCTAATTCCAATATTCTTCACTGGAACTTAATATCAGACCCGTGTTGTAATGGTATCTAAAAAAGAAATCCATGATTCTGCCTTGTTTTGTGTCTCATCCTCAATTTAGCTTTGCTGCAAGTTGAGGTGAAACAAGATGAATCAGCCAATGACCTGAAAGCCCCATGATATGGAGCGATGTATTGGAGAACAGGAAATGACAGGGAGAAACTGATTACTTCATAGAATCCATTGCAGTGCGGAAGCAGGCCATTCTACCCATCGAGTCCACAACGACCCGCCAAACAGCATCCCACTCAGACCCACCCCATCCCTGTAACCCTGCATTCCCCATGGCCAATCCACATAACCTGCACATCTTTGGACTGTGGGAGGAAACCGGAGCAAACCTGCACAGCCAGTCACCCCAGGGTGGAATCAAACCCGGGTCCCTGGCGCTGTGAGACAGCAGTGCTAACCACTGAGGCACCGCGCTACCCTATTTACACAGGACCTGAGGAACAACTTTTTCACATGGAGGGTGGTGCATATATGGAACAAGCTGCCAGAGGAAGTTGGGGGTACAATTCAATAGACGGTGGCTCAGTGCCTCACAGCATCAGGGACCTGGGTTCGAGTCCACCCTCGGGCGACTGTCTGTGTGGAGTTTGCACATTGTCCCCGTGTCTGCGTGGGTTTCCTCTGGGTGCTGCAGTTTCCTCCCACAGTCCAAAGATGTGCCGGCTAGGTGGATTGGCCATGTTAAATTGCCCGTCGTGTTCAGGGATACATAGATTAGGTGGGTTATAGGGGGATGGGTCTGGGTCGGATGCTCCAAGGGTCGGAGTGGACTTGTTGGGCAGAGGGGCCTGTTTCCACACTGTAGGGATTCTATGAATCTATGGGCTAACCGTAGGCAAATGAGATCAGTTCAGTATATGAAACCCGGTCGGAATGGATGAGTTGGACCGAAGGGCCTGCTTCCATGCTGTCTGACTCTATCAGTTCCTCATGCTTCATTCTGGCCTCAATGTGAAATAATCACAGATCATCACAATTTGGTGATAGATCCTCAACATACCTGGGTCGAACGGTATCCTCCACCGAAGCTCCGCTGCTCTGTTAGCCATTTGACGATAGGCTTGGCGTACTGCAGGTCTTTCATAGCCAGCGTCTGAAGCAATGCATAAGCCGTGGTCTCCACATTCACAGCCGACGCTTGACCTCTTCCTGACTGCCCAGCTCCTCCACTGTGCGATGCTCCTTCGTCATCCCAAAAACGGACAGCGTTTTCTGTTTCCATGCGGCAAACGCAAAAGAGATCACGTGGCTTAAAGCTTCACGTTACAACGCAAAAGCAGGACGTACCTTCACTCCTTTCAGACAATGAGATCAAAACTCCAAAAGCAAATTGAAATCTACCAAACAGCTCTTTGCAATTGGTTTGAGCCCTCACGATTTTTCCCCAAGGATGCTCTGTGCTACCATACAACACAGAATTGGCAGCTCTCATAGAATCCCTATAGAAACAGGCTGTTTAGCCCAACAAGTCCACACTGACCCTCACAGCATCCCACCCAATCTACACATCCCTGGACACCATGGGGAAATTTAGCACAGCTAATCCACCTAACCTGCACATTCTTGGACTGTGGGAGGAAACCGGAGCACCCGGAGGAAATCCATGCAGACACGGGGAGAACGTGCAAACTCCACACAGACAGTCACCCAAGGGTGGAATCAAACCCGCGTCCCTGGTGCTGTGAGGCAGCAGTGCTATCTGCTGAGCCACCGTGCCACCCACTGTTGCATTGATGTAGTAGCTTTCCTTAATCTTTCATTGGACGAGAGCGTCTGCGGCCAGGGATAGCTTTCGCTGCCGCACCCTGAACTGTCCTTGCACTGAGTGGCTGATGAGCCCACTCAGAGGGCTGCACGCACAGTCGGCTAGCTCCCGCTTGGAGTCACATGGAGACACAATTTGAGTCTATATAGGGCAGTGCAAGGCATTCCTTGGCAATGAACTCACTGGAGGGGAAGGGACAGGGGAGCTCAAAAAGTCAGGAGGCTGCAAGGTGCATCACTGATGAGCTGGAAGCGGGCAGGAAGTGTGTAAGCGGGGTTGGTGGGTTCCTTTAGAGGCAGCAGCTGTCAGGCAGGGGTCTGTCCTTGGAAATGGCCTGACTCACCCCGGTGCTCCCAGACTCCTCCTCTTTCCCAAGTTGAAGTCACATATGAAGTCTCAATGAGACCTCCTCCTCCAGCACAGCCCCAGCAGTGGTTCCAACGTGTCCCTATGGTGTTGCTAAGGGTACTGCACTGCCGGTCCTCGTGATGTGCCTGAGTAGTTCATGGGAGTAAGGATGGCCAGTCTTCACAATGATAGCAGCCTCAGCCAACACCAATATCATGGTGAGCAGCTACACTCAATCCAGCTCACCATCACACCCCACACCCTTCCTTCCCCCATATTACCACTTGGAAATCATCAATTCCAGCCTCAGGGCTAGACATTCATCTTGTGCAGTACCACAGCAAGTGTAATGGCCCCCACTGTATCCACTGGCCAATGCTCAGCTCTACTGCAGTTGACTCATTCGAATGGGTGGCCTATTTCATCTTGGGCATTTTACACTTGCAGCCAGAAATCACTCTCTATCTCATCAGTCTTTGGCAACCATGATCCAATATTGATGCTCTTGTTTCGTAATGCCAAGACGAGTAATACAGGTGCATCAATAAGGGGTTCTAAAAATGTTTCTCCATTTCCATCCTCACTCAATCTCACTCTTATTGCCACCTTAGAGGTGAGTAGTCCACACAGTGTTATGAGAGCACGCAACCACACCCCGAGCTCTGAACAGAACACACATTTCATACTTTCCTCCACTGGTATTTAACAGCAGACAATTGCATGGCCTCATTCTGACAAACTGCAGGCTTTTACTTCTGCTGTGGCCATTCTGCCTTGTAGCTAGCCATCGAGGGGTAGAAATCTACAATGTAAATTGTTACGAAGCTGGGTAGAGTAGTTGTGAAGTGGAAGGCAGGAAGCTTTTAGAGATTTGTGTTTTGTCTGTACTTAGAAATTGAAAAAAAACAATACAGCAGCAGCTGAAGTTGCCAGTACTGACAGCCTCAAAAAGTGAAATGTGTATCAAAAGAAACCTTACAGGTGGCAAGTAAAACAGCAGAGACAAAGAACTGCAGATGTTGGAGTCAGAGATAACACAGTGTGGAGCTGGAGGAATGTTACAGGCCAAGCAGCATCTGAAAAGCAGGAAAGCTGATGGTTCAGATTTTCTGAAGAAGGGTCCTGACCCAAAACGTCAACTTTCTTGCTTCTCTGATGTTGCCTGGCCTGCTGTGTTCCTCCAGGCAAAACTGCGGTCTTGTTTTGATATTGCAACAACGAGTCTGATTTCAGCCAATTAATTTAAACAAAGCACCTAGAAACAGAAAGCCAATTGAATTTAAATCTGATGGTGTTGACAACCTGAAACCAATCATATTACAAGAATTTAATTAAGTCATTTACAGGTATATAAGATGAGGGCATTTGGAAAATTGGGGAGAGCCACCTGCTAGAGTTAGCACTATTCTGCTTGCAGAAAAAAGTCCATCTAATTAATCAAAGGTACCATGCTATTTTAGTTCAAGGTCCTCATTGAAGAAGTTATAGAGATAAAACATCACTGATAACAGAATTAATGGAAGAAAGGCATTTGTGATGTGACTGGAGATGACAGAAGATTCCAGAAGACAGTCTGTGTTAACTTGGAGAGATTAAGTTTTAGTTTATTGCTTCTTATTAATTGGGACTTGTCTTTACTTAAACAGTATTCCAGTGCAACTTAGACTGGTTGGAGAGTAGTTTGTAGTCTAAGGAGGAGTTGTTGGTTTGTTAGCAATTTTGTTAATTTGATCACTGCTGGGTTAAATAAATAAATTGTTCCTTGTTACTGGTAGAGTGGAGATGAAGGATTTTCTTTCTTTTAAACATTCTTTTGACAGATTACAAGGGGAAAGACGAGCTTCTCTGGGTGTTTGGGGGGGCGGGGGTAATTATTAGAGGGGAGCCCCTACTCCTGTCATAACACATCAGGGCTTGTGTTTTAGTTTAATTATCAGAGGGGTTTGGCTTTTTCCCATTGTAACAAAATAAAATGCTGCACCTGCCACCAAATTGTTGAGCACATAAATGAAAATCCTTCCTTAAATGCTGTATTCCAGACATAGCCTGCATAACTGGAGTATAATCTCCCTACTTCCATGCAGGTAGACAGGGTAGTGAAGAAAGTGTTTGGTACGCTTGCCTTTATTGGTCAGTACATTGAGTACAGGAGTTGGGTGGTCATGTTGCAGCTGTACAGAATATTGGTTTGGACACTTTTGGGGTATTGTGCGCAGTTCTGGTCTCCCTCCTATGGGAAGGATGTTCTGAAACTTGAAAGAGTTCAGAAAAGATTTATGTGGACGTTGCCAGGTTTGAGATATAGGGAGAGGATGAATAAGCTGGAGCTATTTTCCCTGGAGCATTGGAGGCTGAGAGGTGACTTTTTTCCTTCATTCATTCATGGGATGAGGATGTCACTGCCTACGCAGCATTTACTGCCCATCCCTAATTGCCCAAAGGGCAGTTAAGAGTCAACTGTGTTGCTGTGGGTCAGGAGTCCCATATAGGCCAGATCAGGTAAGGATGGCCGTTTCCTTCCCTAAAGGGCAAGTGAACCAGATGTGATTTTCCTTGACAATCAACAATGGATTCAAGGTCATCATTAGATTCTTAACTCTGGATATTTATTGAATTCAAATTCCACCATCTGCTGTGGCAGGATTTGAACCCAGGTCCGCAGAATCTTATCTGGGTCCCTGAATTAATGGTCCAGCAGTAACACCACTAGACCATCGCCTCCCCTGTATAGAGGCTTATTAAATATTGAGGGACATGGATAGGGTAACTAGTTGAGGTCTATTCCCTGGGGTGGAGGAGCCCAAAACTAGAGGGCACAGGTTTAAAGAGAGGTGAAAGATATAAAAGGGACCGAATGGGGCAACTTTTCACCATAATGGGTGGTGCGTGTATGGAATGAGCTGCCAGCGGAAGTTCTGGTACAATTACAATATTTAAAAGACATCTAGAGAGGTATATGAATAGGAAGGGTTCAGAGGGATATGGGACTAGATTTATATAGGACTTCTGGTCGGCATGGATAAGTTGGACTGAAGGCTATTTCTGTGCTGTAGATCTCTGACTGTATGTTTGATTTTCCCCTCACAATTAACAATGATGTTTTGCTAACTTTCTAAACTATTTGCTGCATGCTAACCTTCCAGGATTCATGTGCTAGAGCACTCAGATCCCTCTACATCACAGGACTTTGTCGTCCCTCACCAATTAGCTCATTTTTATTTTATTCTTCCTGTTGGAATGGGAAACTTCACATTTTCCCACCATTCATGCTGTTTGCCAGGTCTCTGCACACTCATTCAGCCAGTCCATATCCCTTTGTAAGCTGCCTCATGTCCTCGTCACAAGGATTCTTCCTTGGCTTGGAGTCGTTAACAAATTTAGCAAATATATCATTCTGACAGGCCACCAAAATCTTGATGTAACTACCAATTTTTCTTGTTGGCCCTCTTTGATCAAACATTTAACTCTACACTGACTTGCTTCAAGGTGGATGATGGAACATACCCCATTTAATGAAGTCACTGCTGAGAGAGGCCCGTCAGCCCATCAATCACCAACTATTCTTATCCCATTTCCAAATACTTTGCCGGTAGCCTTGCAAACATGTGGCTAAATACTACTTAAATATTGTGATGATTCCCAATCCTACCATCCTTTTTTAAGCCAATGAGTTTCAGCTACCTACTGCTCTCTGAATGAGAACATTTTTCTTTCCATTCCCTCTAAGTCTCCTGCCCCTTACCTTATATCTATGTCCACTCTACTAGGAAAAATGTTTCGTCCTACCTACCTATGACCCTCATAACTTTTTGTACATCTTAATCATGTCAACCCACCCCCTCAGCTATCTCTGCTCCAGGGAAACCACCCACAGCTTATCTTGTCTGTCGTCTTAGCTAAACCACTCCAGTCTGGGAGACGTCCTGGTGAACCTCCTGTGCACCCTCTTCAGTGCCATCACATCCTTCCTATAATGTAATGAGGACAACTGCATACAGTACTCTAAACATGATCCAACTAACAGTCTATGCAACAATGTCATTTTCTCCCAGTTTTTGCATTCAATTCCTGTACTAATAAAGATAACTATCTTAGCCATTCTATCCACTGTCCTGTTGCCTGCAACGATCTATGTATACGTACACCAAGATCTTTTTGATCCTCAGTATTACCCAGGGTCATCATGTGCTCCCTTGCCTTGTTAGTCCCTCACGAACTGTATTACTTCACAGTTTTCGGAATTAAACCTAACCTGCCATTGTTCTACCCATTTGACCAGCTCATCCATATCTTCCTGTAATCTGATGCTTTCCTCCTCATTATTTATCACCCCAACCAAATTTTGTGTCACTTGTCAATGTACTGATCATACCTCCTATATTTGCACCTAAATCATTAATGCACACTGGAAACAGCAAGGAGTCCTGCACCGAACCCTGTGGGACTCCGTTGGACATAGTCTTCCAGTCACAAAAATGACACTCAACCTCTGCATCCAGCCACCAAGACAATGTTGAATTCAACTTATCAAATTTCTCTTTTCTGGGGAATGTTACTTCTTAACCAGTCTCCCATGTGTTAGAAGCCTTATCGAAGTCCTTATAAACTACATCCACTGTACTACCCCCATTGACGAACTTAGTCACCTCCTCAAAACATTCAATCAAATTTGCTGGACATGATTTCGTTGCATCAAAGTTGTGCCCCTCCAAACAGGTGCATTGATAAGGTGCTCTCCATTTAATTCTGTACCTCAGAATTTTATCCAATAGTTTTCCTATCGCCGATAGTAGCCTATAGTTTCCCAGTTAATTCCCACCATCCTTCCTGACTGGAGCATAGGAGGTTGACAGGTGACCTGACACAAGTTTAGAAATAATGTTGGCAAATGGGACCAGATTAATGTAGGATAACTGGTCGGCATGGATGAGTTGGACCAAAGGGTCTGTTTTTGTGTTGTACAGCTCTATGACTCAGATGTCTATATATTTTAAAATAAAAGCTCCTGGCAATTTTGTGGCCAGCTGCTGTGATGGGAGTTGAACTTGTGTCAATGAAAAAGGAGAACAATTAATAAATTGCTAGCCTCACCCAGTGTTCTCCATATCCGTGACATTTGACATTATCCCATGCGTCAGCCAAGAAACTAAATTGCGAAATAAAAACCGAAAGAACTGCGGATGCTGTAAATCAGGAACAAAAACAAAGTTGCTGGAAAAGCTCAGCTTTTTCCCTCACAGATGCTGCCAGACCTGCTGAGCTTTTCCAGCAACTTTGTTTTTGAAACTAAATTGCAAAACTGTTTAAAACGTAACTTGGAAGCTGAAAACCATTAATCCGATCATACCTTACTTGTAACATTCTCTATTAGCTCTGCCATTACCTTGATCGTAGATGGCTATCGCTTTCAACTTTTCGTCAGCCTCACGAGCAGCCGAGCTTTCAGGGTCAAACAATGCAAGGGCATATGCTGTGATGGTCAATGAGTATGGGCGCTCAATATTGGCAAGCTCCTCAGAAAGGTATTCAATTGCTTTGGAAATGTTTGCATTCTGAAAGAGCAGAAAGGTAGAATCACAAGTGTAGGAGAAATTCAGACAAAAGTAACAGAAGGCTTTCATTTGATAGAAAATCAACGCTAATGAAAAAATTATATTCACATAAAACTCCCCCTAAAGTGTGGATTTTGTTTTTTTTTGCTTTAATTTCACCTGCCAAAACTTTTGACTCGGAAGCTTGCCCTAAAGCAATAGGCAGTTTAACTCTGATACAGCAGAATGATATGCAGTTTAAAAATATAGGCTTGTCAAGCTGAAGTGAAGGTGTCTCTGCCTCAGTGCAGTAACTGGCTGCACATTTGCTGATGAAACAGTGCACTCTCACTGTTACGATAAGCAATGGACAGTAAATCTTATCATTTACATCAATGGTTTGTGCACATACCAGTGCACTCAAGTCTCATGCAGTAAAGTTGCCATAGTCCCAGAGATTTCCCTAGGATGAGAGATTCAAGACTTAGGGGGCACATTTTTAAGGTGAGAGGAGAGAGATTTAAAAAAGACTTGAGGGGCAATTTTCTTTTCCTTGCACAGAGGGTGGTTCACATGTGGAATGAACTTCCTGAGGAAGTCATGGATGTGGGCACGATTACAACATTTAACAGAGTGAGGATAAGTGCATGAATAAGAGGAGTTTGGAGGGATATGGGTCAGGAGCAGGCAGATGCGACTCATTCAGTTTGGGAATATTTCAGCATGGACCAGGTGGGCCGAAGGGTCAGTTTGTGTGCTGCATGACTCTACATAAGTGGAGAACTGCTCCCTCATTAGAGAGGTGGTGGTTTAACCTGAGGGGCACCGCTTCTCAGGCGAGGTTGCGAAGGTGGGATCTTCACTCTGATTGGCGTCACGCTGCAATGCAAACTGGAGCCAACTGAGTGAAATGAGGGCGGGGTCCACTTTTGTTCTGAATTTGAGACAAGTAGCTGCGAAGGGTCAGACGTGCTAACAATTAGGCACAACAGCCTTCAGTTGTCACATCCCACTGATCTCACGTCTTGCAGTGAGATCACCAATGTTAGCAAGCAAGGGAATTACTCCCCCCAGAGCCTGGAAGGTTATAAGTTGGTGCTTTGTTGGAGAATATCAGGAAAAGAATAGATCGCTGTCACGAGCAGCACAGCCCAACTTGGTGGAGACTGCCAACCATTTGGCTGAATGAAAGAACCCCCAATAAGGGAGGAGTCAATCCAGTTTGTGCTCGAATGTGGGGAATTAGCTTCTGTTTCCAGATCGTCACCCGGCAGTGTGCTACAGAATTCAAATAAAAAGACGGAAGTTCCAAAAAACCTGGAGAATGGATTTACTTCCTTCCACATCCCTGTTGGATACAGGATGACTGACATGAGGGACTGCAACGTGGATAAAACATTGCCTGAGGGATAGGAAATCCAGGGGTGGTGGTCAATGGATAGTTTTCAGGCTGGAAGATGGTTTGTGGTAGATTTCTCCAGGGGTCTGTATTGGGACCTTTGGTTTTCCCTGATAAATGTTAATGATCTAGGCATGCAAGGGACAGATAATTTCAATGATTGCAGATGACATAAAACTCAGAGAGCAAGAGCAGACACGATGAGCCAAATGGCCTCCATCTGCATCATAATGATTCTGTGGTTCTCGTGATAAATATCACTCTGTTTGATGACAAGATACAAACATTTATTTTATATAAGGCCTGCACAGAAATCATTTGGGACAAGCTGCGACACACAAATTATATACATTTTTATTGCAGCAAATGGGAAATGTTCAGATAATGCAATAATTTGGAAATTTCTACCCCAGTCCTTTATATTTCTACACTGCTCGGAGGCAGATAATATGAAACAAGCTGCGTTGCTTGAAAGTAAACAATTTCTGTGACTTCTGCAGGAAGCTTCATCTCATTTCTGTCTGTTACCAATCATTATTTAGAGGAACATTTCACATTCAGACCTGGATGCATTGCCTGTTCTTGTGGAGAATTAGCTGCTGAGAATTGATGGGACTATTAATGTGTTTACATGATTATCTGTATAAATGCAGACGTATCTCTGTATTCCTGACAGCAATACTGAATTCAAATTCCCTAAAGCATTGGGTACAAGTTCCTTAAATATCAAGATGTTTCGCTGAGATTGTTCGAACGTAAGAACAAGGAGCGGGCTATAAGGCCCCTCGAGACTGCTCTGTCATTTAATACGATAATGGATGATCTCATCTCGGCCTTAACTCCACTTTCCGGCCCACTCCCTATATCCCTTCAACTAATTAAAGATCTGTCCACCTCCTCCTTAAACGTACTCAATGTCCCACATTCAGCACACTCTGGGATTGGATAATCCATAGATTCACGACCCTTTGAGGGAGGTAAATCCTCCTCGTCTCCGTTTTAAATCCACTACACCTCAGCTGAAAACTATGACATCTTGTTCTAGATTGCCCCACATGAAAAAACATTCTCTCTCCATCTACTTTGTCAATCCCCTCGAGCATCTCATGTCCCTCCATTTAACGTCCTTGTGAATTGAAGACCTGAAGTCAACGCAACCAGAACAATGGGCAATGATCCTGTCAGCCTGCAGAGCCAATCCCACAGGTTATGCCCCAGTCGGGGCTAAATTTAGTTCTTTACCTCTGAAGTCTTTCATTACTTTTGGTGATCAGTGTAAAAACCAGTAATGGTGAGTCCACCCCTGATTTTGTGTCTATCTCTGCATTTGTTTCTCACCTGCATTCACTTCATTGTCACAAAGGCACAGGTAAAACTCTCAGGTGAATGGCTAACATTGAGCCTTACCAGGTGTTTTTGGATTTCAAGATCTTTGTGAAAGAAAATCCGGGATCTCATCAGTGCTATTGCGACAAAGGCTGTCGTCGGAATTTTCGCGCTTCCTTTCTTAACTCCACCCTTAAAAAAAAATGAAAAAGATTTTAAAATCACAGTTTAGGCTCAGATTTGCAACTAAGTTGAGTTGTTCATAGAATCCCTACAGTGTGGAAGCAAGCCATTTGGCCCATTGAGTCCACACTAGCCCTCTGAAGAGCATCCTACCCAGACACAACCCTATCCCTGTAACCCTGCATTTCCTATGGCTAACCCACCTATTGTACACATCCCTGGGCAATTTAGCATGGCCAATCCACCCTGATCTGCACGTCTTTAGAGTGTGGGAGGAAACCCACACAGACACAGGAAGAACATGCAAACTGATAGTTGCCTGAGAGTAGAATTGAACCTGGATCCCTGGCACTGTGAGGCACCAGTGCTAGCCACTGTGCCACTTTGCTGTTGGCACTTAATTATAATGAGTAATACCTGGAGACTGTGGGCATTTTTCTTAAACAAACATTTTCATACCCCACTGATACTCTGCTTCAGGAAGGTTATTGTTGTCTAAAGGAAATATCCATTAAGGGAGCATGCTAGAGGATTCAACAAAAGTTATTCTTACAATTAAGAGCCTGAGCTAGATTTGTGAGAACATTCTTGCAGTGAGATGGCCAATAATTTTGTAATGTAAATGGGAGGGGGAGGCAGCCAGGAGTAACATTATTCAAATGTTAGGGGCTGAGAGAAGTACTGGCCACCTAGAAAGTAGAAAACCTTGCCAGTTGCCAAATAGCCAATGTGCCCTAATGCCAGCACTCTCTTCTTGTGTTAGTAACTTTTAATGTGAACTTTAGGTACGACTGGAGCACAACCCATCAGCTGGGAAACTGCCAGAATTAAGCAAAAGGCTACTTTCATACACCTTCCAACTGAAGTCAATAGATACAAGTTGTATTCAGTCAGCTATAAACCTATCGATGCATCAAACCAAGTGTAAATTTTATGTAGAGTGTTGGATCACAATCAAGTTTTATGAGAGCTAAGAATGCAATAGAACCAGCCACTGGTGTTCAGGTAGAGTTTTGCCCGGGCCATTCAGCTTTTCCCCCTTGTTACAAATTTAGTCCAAACATGGACGAAGGAGCTGAACTCCAGAGGTGAAGTGAGAATGACTGCACTTGATATCAAGGCAATATTTGACCGAGCATGACATTAAGGATCCCTAGTAGAACTGGAGTCAATGGGAACCAGGAGGAAGACTCTCCACTGTTTGGTGTGATTCCTGACACAAATTAAGGTGGTTGTGGTTCTTCGAGGTCAATCACCTCAGCCTCAGGATATCTCTGGAGGTGTTCCTCAGGGTAGTGTCCTAGGCCCTGCCATCTACAGTTGCTTCAACAATGACCTTCTCTCCACCATGTGGTTAGAAGTGGGAATTTCACTGATGACTGCATAATGTTCAGCACATTTGCGACTCCTCAGAAACTGAATCATCCATGTCCAAATGCAACAAGATCTGGTCAATATCCAGGTTTGGGCTGAGAGGAGGCAAGTAATGATCATGTTACATAAGTGCCAGACAGTAGCACTAATATCCCTTACAAATGCACGGATTCTCTCAGTTACCTTGACTATACATCCTCACTCACTGCTTCCTGCAAGGGGATTCCATTCCAGTCTCCCAGTTTCTCCATCCCTCCCCGTTGCATCTGTTCTGATGATGCCACCTTCCACTGGAGTACCTCCGACATGACCCCTCTCTTTTGCTTCAAGCAAGGATTCCCAGCACTGCAGTTGACAGAGCACTCAGCCATGTCCAAGTCATCTCCTGTACTTCTGACCTCACCCATTCTCCTTCTTCCCAGAACTACACGATAGGGAACTCTACCCCCCACCCCACCATCCTCACTTTCCGCTGCCATTAGTTTCCATAAATGAAGAATCACCATTCCACTGTTTCTGCCACTTCCAGCAGGGTGCCACCAGCAAAGGCAGAATACCCCTCCCTTCACTGCCGGCATTCCATAGGGATCATTCCTCCCCTCCCCCCCAACCATGTCACTCCTCGTCCACTCCTCCATCACTCCTGACACTTCCTCACTCCCCAGGGACACCTTCCCATGCAATGCTGGAAGGTGTACACTTGCCTGTTCACCTCAGCCCCTCTTCACAACCCAAGGCCCCAACACACATTCCAATGTTTCTCTTACACGTCTTTCAATCCAGTTTGCTGCTCACAGTTGGCCCGTACATTGTACATTGGCGAGTCTGGGTGACCGCTTTGTGGAACACCTCCGCTCTGTCCGTAAGAATGACCCCCACCTTTCAGTCACTTGCCATTTCATTTGGCCACCTTGCTCTCAAACCGACATTTCCATCCTGGGCCTGCTGCAATGTTCTAACAAAGCACAGTGCAAACTCAAGAAACGAGACCTCATATTCTGCTCAGTCAGTTCACAGCCTTGGCCTCTCACTTTTGAATTCCACAACTTCAGAAACTGGCGGCACGTTGGTTTTTCTTCACTTTTCTCACGTTCTGTACCCACCGAGCTCCCCCCCACCCCAGCACCCCCCCATGCCCCCCCCCCCCCCCCCGGGCCCCCCCCCACCCCCAACTCCTCAGCCTTATTGTGCCCGTGTTACCTTGCTGTCAGCAGGAAGGGCCTGTTCTTTCCCTTTCACGCCTTAACGCCAATCCATTTTGTATCTCTTGTTTCTCTTTCACCAGAAGACCATAAGAGAAAGGAGTAGAAATAGGCCGTTCAGCCCATTGAGCCCGCTGCACCATTCGACTTGTTTGGCTTTTGTACTGAACCTCCGCACTATCTGTTTCCCTTTCTCCTCTTCCAACTCCGTGAATAGTCAAAATCACCATTTTCCCACAACTTTCAGTTCTGAAGACGAGCCATATGGGACATTAAACGTTCTCTGTTTCTTTTTTCACAGATGCTGCTAGACCTTTCTGTTTATTCATTCATGACTTGAGGGTGTCTCTGGTTAGGCCAGTATTTATTGCCCAACTCTAATCGTCCAGAGGGCAGTTAAGAGTCAACCACATTGCTGTGGGTCTGGAGTCACACATAGGCCAGACCTGGTAAGGGTGGCATGTTGCTTCCCTAAAGCAATGATGAACAAGATTCTTCCAACAATTGGTAATGGATTAATGGTCACCGTTAGACTCGTAATTCCCAATTTTTATTGGATTCAAACTCAACCATCTGCTATGGTGGCTCCCCAAGAACATTACTTGGCTCTCTCTGGATTACCAGTTCAGCGGTAATGCCACGAGGTCATCACCTCCCCCTACTGAGTTTACCTGATATTTTCTGTGGAATGGGAATGGAATACATTCTTTGGGTAGGAGGGATCAAAGTCCTTTCTGGGCAGTATTTGACCACAGGGTCATTTTATAGTCTACCTGACATTCAGTTCCCTGGACTTCAGGTGAGCTCTACATGCTGCCCATAGTAAATATAAAAAATTTAAGTCACCATATCATAGGGTTGCTCTCTCATTCAAGGTGGTAGTCATCATACCTCAGGCTGAAATGGACAGTCTTTCACAATAAGCTCAGCTAGTACAGGAACTGAACCTACACTATTAGCATCCACTCTGTATTGTAGACCAGCAATCCAGCCAATTGTGCTAACCAGCCACTCCTAGTGCTGTTTGTGGAACAGAAACTAGTGTCAGTTTGCTCATTTTAATTCCTCATCCAAGACAGGTCTCTACCTCCCACTGGAAAGGCTAGTTGTATCAACAAGGAGAGCAGTGCATGTAATAAAAGGCACGTGAGACATGAAGGAATGAGAAACATTAGCACAACCTGTAAATTTGGAAACATGGGAAAGGCATCGTAAAACTCTCCAGCTGGGGTCTGATTCTTCAGCAAATACGAGATGGAGTTTTGAACACTGTCTTCTTTAACCTCGACCTGAGTACTAGCTATTGATAGTATCTTAACAATGAATGCGGTTAACCTGAAATGTGAAGCAGATATTAGAATTGTAGAAACCCTCCAATGTGGAAAGAAACCATTCAGCCCAAAAACTCCTGAGATTGTTAGAAATGACCTATAATGCCAGTGCACCCTACATGCCTCACGTGGGAATTGAAAAAAAAAACTTGGAAATATCTCACCGTTCCTTCAGTGTTGCTGGATCAAAATCCTGGAATTCCTTCTCTGAAGGTCAACCTGGACTGCAGTGGTTCAAGAAGGCTGCTCACCACCACCTTCTCGAAGGGGGCAACTAGGAATGAGCATTAAATGTTTGGCCCAGTCAGAAATGCCCTCGTCCCACAAAATAATTTTTAAAAATGAGGTTTTGACTTAGCATCTTTCAAAAGGTAATACCTTTGAAAGTGCAGCACCTCACTGGCAGGACTCTTGTATGATTTTTCCTCAGTAGCACCCCATGCTTTAGTTCAGTATCTCTGACACAGCCACCATTGCCCAAAAGGCTTCCTTCTGTTCCTTTCCTTCTTGGCGTTTTGGATTTTAAATTGATCTTCGCTGAGTTGGCCACGTCATCATGGCCCTTGCCCAATAGTAGGCTTTGTTGAAGTTAGTGAAAGGAGATATCAAGGCAGAGCGAAGATCGGGTGATTGAGTCTTATGTTGCAGACCAACCGAAATTCAATTTCCCTACAAAGACCTGACATTGAACGACTGCAAGTATTTTCCATTTAATTTCCGATATTGTTTGAATTGCATTATTACAAATTCAGAGCTTATGAAACAGTCTCTGACCAGATATGCACTGAAACATAGAGAATAAGAGCTGGAGAAGCCCATTCAGCACACCGAGCCTGAATGCCATTCCACTGGATCATGGCTGATTCTCTATCTCATGCCATACCACTACTCTGTCCCCATGCTACTCAACATCGTAAGCTTGTAGAAATCTATCCATTTCTTTTAAACATATATTCAATGAATTCTCCTCCATGTCTTTCTACAGTGGAAAAAATTCCTTGGGCCATAGAGTCATACAGCATGGAACAGTTGGTGGGCCTTTGAATTATTAACTTAATATTAACTCTATTCACTTATTTTCTCAATTCTACGACCAGCCACTCACGTAGTTTAAGAAACTGAGCTTTGAAATGACATTAATTCTGGTCACTTAGACTACGATGGATACAGTCATTGAGTTATACAGCACGGAAACAGATCCTTCGGTCCATCTCATCCATGCCCACCAGGTTTCCTAAGCTGAACTAATCCCATTTGCCTGCATTTGGCCCCTATCCCTCTCAACCTTTCCTAGTCCTGTATCTGTCCAAATGTCTTTTCAATCTTGCAACCGGGCCTGCATCTACCACTTCCTCTGTCAGCACATTTCACATACGAACCAACCTCTGTGTGAAAACATAGCCCCTCAGGTCCCTTTCAAATCTTTCTCATCTCACATTAAACCTGTGCCCTCAAGTTTTGAACTTCCCTACCCTGGAGAAAAGATCTTGGCTATTCTTCTTATGCTTGTAGAAATCTATCCATTTATTTTTAAAATATATTCAATGAATTCTCCTCCATGTCTTTCTGTAGTGGAAAATTCCATGGGCCGTAGAGTCGTACAGCATGGAACAGTTGATTGGCCTTTGAATTATTAACTTAATATCAACGCGATTCACTTATTTTCTCAATTCTATGGCCCTCATGATTTTATAAACCTCTATAAGGTCACCCCTCGGCCTCCCACACTTCAGAGAAAAAAAGTCCCAGCCTATCCAGCCTCTCCTTATAGCTCAAACACTGCAGTCCTTGTAACCCTCTAAATGATGTTACCTCTAATATCTCCTTAACCCATTCCACTGTTTACCCTGAGACTCTGAACCCTTGTTCCACACTCCCTGGCCAACGAAACATTATCACTGTATCCATCCAGTTTGCCCAGCCCTGACAGAAATATAAATGAGACCCTTTCTCATTCTCCTAAACTCCGATGAAGATAGGCCCAATCGGCCCAATCTCTACTCATATGGCAAACCTGCCACCCCAGGAGTCAGTCTGGTCAACCTTCACTGCATTGCTTCTATGCTTTTCTTAGGAAAAAGGCCAAATGTGTACACAAAAGGCCTGACAGTTAAGTCCCAATATCTAAAACGGAACATACTTAATTCTAAATCAGGAGCAAATGGAGAAAATAGAAACCAAAAGGTGTGAAAAGAGGAAAAGATGTCAGAAACTCACCACGTGCTGCCAGGGTAATCGTTGAAACTTCCATACGCTCCGTTAGCATTTTTATGTTCCAATATCCTTTTGTACCCTGCAAAGTACAAATTATAATTGGTGTGCTCAATCTTTATTTCTGCCACTAACTTTCTCAATATTATCAATCGCCATACTGGCCATCATTCACACACGTGCTCACCAGCAGCTTGTCAAGACCAAGTAGGGACAGGCAGCAAATGCTAGTCCCAGCCAGTGATGCCCTAAGTCCCATGAGTGAATAGAAAATTGCAGGAATGTTGGTTAGAAAAAATGTGTTTGGGTGACAGAACCAACTTTGGGATTGACCTTTGAGGCACTGACTGGGTTTACCGACATAACCTTGGAGGTAAGCTTGTCTCTGGGAGATTACGTGGCACAATGATGTAGGTGTTAAACAAAAGGGAAAAGTGCCCAAGATGTCACAAAGTATCCGCAGAGAGGAAAGCAGATTGGTGACATATGATATTTCCTTAAAGTGACATTATCCTGAAATGTTAATTCATCTTTTCTTCCCACCAATGCTTCCTGGGTATTCCCAACTATCCATACTAACCCTCCAAAGAGTAGCCCACCCAGACTAACCCACTTCCTTATCCTTGAATGTACCATGTTGACCAATCTGGCCTATACATTCCTGGACACTATGGGACAATTTCGCATGGCTAATCCACCTAAACTCCACATCTTTGAACTGTGGAAAGAGCCCATGTAGACACAGGGAGAACATACAAAATCCACACAGTTACCCAAGGGTGGAACTGAATCTGGGTCGCTGTGAGTCACTTTAAGGCAGCAGCACTAAGCACTGAGCCACCGTACCACCCACTGTTGCAGTGGTGTACAAGATTTTTGTCATGCGAAGCTGGCAGAAGACAACTTGAAAGCACAGAAAGGGAATGAACCAATAACGACAAGACACGAGAAATAGATAGACCTAGGCACAGCTTAATGAGATTAAAAAAGTGAGGAGAGGAATGAGGTTCCCATAAACTGGAGGAAGAATTGAGCGCCACATTACGACAATGTGTGTGGAGCTTCTAAATAAACGGGAAGCACTGTAATCCGTAAAAGTCAAGGAGCGAAGCGATGTGAAGAAGCTGGGTGCAAAGGGGTGTGCAGTCAGCTGGAAATAGGCTGCATGCAAGATGCTGGAAGCACTGTTAGACAGGTGAGGAGTGGAGCAGTGCTGTAGGCAAAGGAGGATGGAACATGCCCATCGGTAGCGTAGTGTCACCAAGCCTGTGGTCTTCAGCCACATAACGCAAAGAGAAAAAAAGATCAAATGGGGGGAATGAGCCTGTGCAGGTGGAACAAGGAAATAGTTTAGCATGCAGAACCTCAAATGTATTAATCTCTGAATGACTCCCAGTGCCATGCATAACTTAGCATAAGAAGTCACAGATAGAATAGATGAATGTTTGGTTGGAGAGATGGGTGCAGAATACAATGTTGGATATTTGGGGTTCGTTCTAAAGGTAACAACATCTGCTTATTGTGCCTGAAAAGGCTAGGGACTAATTTTCTCGTGTGTACGTTTGTTATGATTTCAATCTTTGACACTATTAACTATTCCAATTTCTATCACAGGTCTTAATCCCTATCCATCCTGTACTCTGACCTCGATCATTCTGCTGCCCGCGCCCTGTAAACATTTCTTTTTACTGATTATAGCATTGGACACAGACTGCTCATAAGTAACATTGTAGAGGGATCAAAGTGTTTCTTCTCGGATTTAAAATTTTCTCTGGCCTGGTTTGTACTCTGAGTGAAGTACGACAGTACAATGCATTTTGGTTGGAAAAATGGGAAGACAACCGACTATCTAAATGGGGAGAGACTTTGGGGTGCTCCGGTGCAGAGGGATCTGGGTGTCCTTTTTCATGAGTCACAGAAAACTAGCATGCAGGTACAGCAGGTAATAAAGAAAGTGAATGGAATGTCAGCTTTCACAGCTAAAGGAATAGAATATACAGTTAAGGAAGTATTGTTGCAACTATACAAGGCTTTGTGAAACCGCATCTAGAATATTGTGCTTGGTTTTGGTCCCCTTATTTGAGGAAGGATGTGGTGGCATTGGAGGCAGTTCAGAGGAGGTTCACTAGATTGATCCCAGAGATGAGGGTTTGTCACATGAGGAGAGATTGAACAGTTTAGGCCTATACTCTTTGGAATTTAGAAGAATGAGGGGAGATCAAATTGAGGCATTCAGGATGATAAAAGATAGGGATAAAATAGATGTGGAGCGGACGTTCTCTCTTGTGGGGCATTCTAGGACAAGACGTCATAGTCTTAGGATAAGGGGTAGCAAATTTAAAACAGAGTTGGGAGAAATTACTTCTCCCAAAGGGGTTATGCATCTGTGGAATTCGCTACCCCCAAACTGTGGTGGATGCTGGGAGAGTGAGTAAATTTAAGGAGGAGTTAGACAGATTTTTAATTGGTAATGGGTTGAAGAGTTATGGGGACATGGCAGGAAAATGGGGGTGAGGAGAATATCAGCCATAATCGAATGGTAAAGCAGACTCGATGGGCTGAATGGGCTATTCCTTACAAACATACAAAACACCAAGCAACACTCTTTCGCTATCACTCAACACAAAGTTGCTATTCTGATTTGTTCAGGAGTTCTTTTTCTACTTAACTCTGTGGCTACTTCATAGCTTTACCATTGGGACTTAGAAAATGCTCCAATTCTGTCTCACATCGCCCTTCATTTCCACAACCCCGTCAACTGGGAAATTCAGCTATTCTGACTCACCCAGTCAAACAATGTTTTAGACAGTTCTAAGATTCGCTTGTTGTTTCTTAGAGTTAGCAGGCTCATGTACAGCTCTGAAAATAAGTTAACTCCACCTCATGGTAATAACGAATCAGCAGTCAAGAAGTTGGCAGTGGTGTGGGAATCAGGAAGTCAATGTTGGAACCGTTACTTTTCATGTAAACTTGGAAGACTTGTAAATGTGAGGAGAGCTATTGATGGACTTCAAAGGGACCGAGTTGGTTTGGTGGAATGGGCAGTCAAAAGATAGATGAAGTTAACTGCACTGAGGTGTGAATTGGCTTATTAAGACGACAAGATATAGGAGTAGGGGTCGGTCATTCAGACCATGAAGTCTCCTCTTCCATTCAATAAGATCAATAGTGATTTAATAATCCTCAACTCCAATTTCTTGCCTTTTCCCTATAACATTGGATTGCCTCACTGATCAAAACTCTATCGCAGCCTTAACCATAGTTAATGACCCAGCCTCAACTGCCCTCTGAGACAAGAAATTCCTCCTCATCTCAGTCTTCACTGGGTGATCCCTCAATCTGAGATGATGCTGTCTGGTCCTAGACTCTCCCACAAGGGGAAACAACTTTCCACATCGACGCTGTCAAATCCCCTAAGGTTCATTTTGGTATGAAGGTCAAACTGAGGTGATATAAAACAACGAAATGAGGAGATGCTAATGGAATGGAATGTCAGGATACACATGTAAAAGTCACTGAAGACAGTAAGGCAGTATGTCGAATAAAATACGTGGGCAGCTGCGTTTTACAGGTAATGTCACAGGCTATAAAAGAAGAAGCCTCTGTTAAGCCAGTCTAAAATGTAGGCCAATCTCAGTGGGAGTACTGGTGCCAACTGTGGCCACTGCTCGAGGTGCAAGAAAGTTTCAATTAAGCAGTTCCAGGAATGAATGACTTCAGTTGCGAAGGTTGATGGGAGAGGCTGCATCTGTTCTCCTTGGAGAAGATCAGGAGGAAATTTGCTTGACATGTTCAAATCATGCCGTTACTGGACAGAGAAGGTTAGGAGAGACAGTTTTGACTGGCGAAAGTCTGCCAAGAAACAGAGGAGACCGTTTTCAGGTGATTGACATGAGAAGCGACTCAACAAAAGGAAAATACGTTTTCTTTTAAAATAGCGAGTTAAATAAGGTTGTAAAGACCATAAGAAATTGTTGTTCGAGCTTGCTTTGCTCTTGAATAGGATCATGGCATCCTCACGTCCACTTTCCTACATTTTACCCATAACCCTTGATTCCCTAACTGATCGAGAATCTAATTATCTCAGCCTCAAATATACATAAGGAATTTGTCCCCATAGCTCTCTATGGCAAGGAGTTTCAAAGACTCACAACACTCAGAGGAGAAATTCCTCCTCGTCTCAGTCTTAAATTGGTGCCCCTTTATTTTGAGATGGTGCCCTCTAGTCCAAGACAGGAGGGGAAAACATCCTCTCGGCAGTCGTTGTGACCTGCTATGGCTCGATCTAGAGAGTGGTGAATACAGACAAAACCAAGGCCTTCTAAAGGATAGCTTCATGGCCTTGTGGTATTATTGCTAGACTATTAATCCAGCAATCTGGGTAATGTCATGGGGAATCTAAGTTCAAATCCTGCCATGCTAGTTAGGTGGGATGTGAATTTAACAAAAATTATGATGGCCTCGTGTTTTTTTTTGTCGGAAAAAAACCATCTGGCCCACTAATCTCCCTTTTGTATGGAAACTGCTATCCACATCTGGTCTGGCCTGTGTGCGACTCCAAGTCCACAGAAATGTAGTTGACTCTTAACTACCCTCTGAGCAATTAAGTGATAAATACTGGCCGAGGCAGTATATCCCGTGAATAAGTTTTTACAAACTCCAACAAAATGGTGACGAGCTGCGTTGCTCTTGTGGTGGGACAGATTGGAAGGTTCTGCTGCTGAGTTGGAACTATTACGTGCTCCCATGGTTAGTAATTCTGATGTAGTCGACCATACAAACTCCACGGCACCCTATGGTTCGCTGTCCAGTCCTTGATGTTGTTGACGTAAAGAGGCCGGTCAGTAAGAAGGGATGGTTTTACCAAGCGAATCGAGTACTAGGACAATCGAGGAATGATGCTTTTTGGGAAATGACAGCCTTACTGGGAAAAGCGGATGAAGATTGCTGTTTCCTGCAGCTGTACTGGCCAGTCAACGGCCAGTATGGATTTGAGAAATACTGGAGGTGACATTTTTCTTTTTTATTCATTCACAGGAATGATGACATCACTGGCTAGGCCAGCATTTATTGTCCAACCCTAATTGCCCACAGGGCAGTTAAGAATCAACCACACTGCTGTGGGTCTAGATACACATATAGGCCAGACCAGATAAGGATGGCATCTTCCTTCCCTAAAGGGCATCAGTGAACCAGATGGGTTTTTCCAACAATTGACAATGGATTTGTGGTCATTGTTAAGTTCCTAATTCCAGGTTTTTTAAAAAAAGTTGAATTTTATTGAATATTTTCACAGGTTTGCAAGTTAGAAGAAAATCAAAGAGAATGCAACTAATACGACCTTTTGAAAGAATGAAACAGCCATCAGTCAATGCTTTAACATGTTGCAGTCCATATCTAAGAGTTCATATCTTACATCCATTTTTTTAAAAAATTATTTTCTAACCAACCTGTCATTACACACTTCCAGAGCAGGTGGGCTTGAACCCAAACAGAATCATAGAATCCCTACAGAGTGGAAGCAGGCCGTTCAGCCCATCAAGGGCACACCAATGCTCTGAAAAGCATCCCACCCAGACCCACACCGCCTACCCTATAACCCCAAATTTCCTATGGCTGACCCTCCTAACCTGCACATCCCTGGGTACTATGGGCAATTTAGCATGACCAATCCGACCTAACCTGCACATCTTTGGACTGCAGGAGGAAAGATCAAACATTTATGAGGAGAATATGCAAACTCCACGCAGACAGTTGCCCAAGGGTGCAATCAAACCCGGGTCCCTGCTGTTGTGAGCAAGTAGTGCTGACCACTGAATCTCTATGCCACCCTGGAAGTACTCTTGGCTTAGACGTAGGGATGCTACCACTGTGCCAGAGAAGCACCAACTCTTGTTGTTCATATTTTCCCAGCCAGTCTGTTCAGAGATATCATTTCACACCACCATAATAGGTGGGAATTGAGCCTGGGTCTAGAGGTAGGGACACTACCACTGCAACCACAAGAACATAGGAATTGGGAGTGGAAGTAGGCAATTTAACTTTTTGAGCCCACTCCACTATTTAATATGATCATGGTTGATCTAAGCCTAGCCTCAAATCTACTTTCAGCCTGCTCCCCATAGCCCTTTCTCCAGCTTTTCATCAGAAAAAAATATCTATTTCTTTCTTGAACCTGTTGATTAATTCTGCCTCCACTGCACTCTGGGGCAGTGAATTCCACAGATTCACAACCCATTTGAGAGAAGTAGTTTCCCCTCATCTCGGCTTTGAACCTATCTCCTCTCACTCTATATCTATACCCTCTTGTCTGAGACTGTCCCACAAGGGGGAGCATCTGTGCAATGTCTCCTTTATGAATCCACGTTAGCACTTTATACACCTCAATCAGGTCCCCCCTCGTTCGTCTGAACTCCATCAAACACAAGCCCAAGCTATTCAACTGCTCCTCTTACGAAAGCCCTTTCATTCCTGGAATCAACCTGGTGAACCTTCTCTGAACTGCCTCCAGTGCCACCACATCCTTTCTCAAGGAAGGAAACTAAAACTGGACACAAAACTCCAGGTGTAATCTCACCAAAGCCCTATGTAACTGCAGCAATGCTCCTTTACTTTCATAATCCTGTCCTTTTGCAATAAATGCCTCACACCAATCCATAGCAATATTTGAGAAATGTTTCAGTGCACTTTAAATGACTGTATACTCCACCTGCTCTAATATGGCTGAGTGCTTCATCCTTTAATTCTGGTCTTAGATGTAACCATTGGTCACTTTTGTCGAGGTAATTGACAGCAAACACAGTTGGGGCCAATTTAGATGTTGTTTGCTCAGTGCACCCTGTTGGTAATTGAATGAGCTTGTCGATTCCTTCTGGTGATAGGCTGTTTTCCACAGTTTCTCCCATCACGTGACCTACAAAAAAAGGCACCAATAAGGAGTTACCGAACGGGATGGGAGTGGGAGCGCTCAAATAAATCTAAAACCTGTTAAAATGAATGGAGCAAAAATGACTAAAAATAAACCCGATGAACTGCAGATGCTGGAAATCTGAAATGAACGAAAATGGAAATTGCCGGAGAAATTCAGTAGATGTGGAGCGAAAGTGAAGTTAACGTTTCAGGTCCCATGAGCCTTCTTCACATTTTGTTTGTGATCTTTAGTACATGTGCACTCAATTGTAGATCATTCTTGACAGTCCTACGTAGAGACGGGTAGAGGGATGTTTGAAGTTAAGGAACACAGCCTGGCTGATGAGATGTAAAACAGACTATCTTATGACTGCTGGGCAAAGTTTCAAAATGCACTTTTTCTTGCTTCATGCTCCATCTAATCTTGTGTACAAGGGAGGAACTGGGCTTGACTGGATAACAGCTGAGATAGTTTGCCATGGATATTAAGTCATTTTGCTCCAGTTGGAGGTGAACCTTGCACATACTCACATCAGGCTTGGAGAAAGCCACAACAGGAGAGTTGGGGACTAAGGCAAATGCAACTGGAAGGCAACAACTGGGGAGTAAGTCCGCCAAAGATATTTGACATTACGATGAAGCAATGCAGGTATCTCCTGGGCCTGATACAAGTGACCTTTGACAAAATCAACACTTTGCATCTGGCATGACAATGGAGGTCCTTTCTCCCGTCATTTCCATTGAGTTCACGACTGCTCCTCACTGCTTAAAATTTTTGAGAAGATTTGTTGATGGAGCTCCGTCAACAAACACATTGAACTGGACCCGATGGACAAACCACTGAAAAACAGAACTGAAAATACTACCAACCACCCTGGCAAACCGAGGCATATAAATAACAAGCGGGACAGAACACTAGCGCTTCACCAGAGGCACACTGACAAAGTTACCCAGCAGGGTGACAAAACATTTGCAACCAAACACACCAGCTCAGCAAGCCGGTCTGCTAGTTCCTCAATGTTTTAGCTCCCTGGGCCGGTTCTGTAATCTCAACTACAATTAAGAGCCAGAATTTAGAAAAGACGATACACATTTAGCTTGATGGTAGGAGGCAGAGAGTAACAGTGGAAGGATGCTTGTCGGACTGGAGGCCTATGACTAGTGGTGTGCCTCAGGGGTCGGTGCTGGGCCCATTGCTGTTTATTATCTATATCAATGATTTGGATAAGAATGTACAAGTCATGATTAGTAAGTTTGCGGATGACACTAAAATAGGCGGTATCGTGGACAGTGAGGAAGTTTATCAGAAATTGTAGCAGGATCTTGATCAGCTCGGGAAGTGGGCTGAGAAGTGGCAAATGGAGTTTAATGTAGATAGGTGTGACGTGTTGCATTTTGGAAAGTCAAATCAAGTTAGGAGTTTCATGGTGAATGGTAGGGCCTTAAGGAGTGTAGTGGAACAGAGGGACCTTGGAGTTCAGGTGCACAGTTCTCTGAAAGTGGAGTCACAGGTAGACAGGGCAGTGAAGAAGGCTTTTGGTACATTGGCCTTCATCAGTCAGGGCATTGAGTATAGATGTTGAGATGTTATGTTGCAGTTGTACAGGATGTTGGTGAGGCCACACTTTGTGTTCAGTTTTGAACCCCTTGTTATAGGAAGGATGTTGTTAAATTGGAAAGAGTGCAGAAAAAAATTTACGAGGATGTTGCCAGGACTCAAGGGACTGAGTTATAGGGAGAGGTTGGGCAAGCTCTTTTCTTTAGAGTGTAGGAGACTGAGGGTGTATCTTATAGAAGCGTATAAGATCATGAGAGGTATGGATAGGATGAATGCACTCAGTCTTTTTCCCAGGGTTGGCGAATCGAGGACTAGAGGGCATCAGTTTACAGTGATAGGGGAAAGAATACATGGGAATCTGAGGGGCAGCTTTTTTACTCAGAGGGTGGTGCACAAATGGAATGAGCTGCCAGCAGAAGTGGTTGAGGCGGGTGCATCAACAACATTTTAAAAGGAATTTGGACAAATACATGGATAGGAAAGGTTTAGAAGGATATGGGCCAAGTGCAGGGAAATGGGGTGAACGTGGATGGACATTTTGGTCAGTATGGACCAGTTTGGGCTGAAGAGCCTGTCTCTGTGCTCTGTAGTACTCTGGCTCTACGATGATCTCATTTTTCCTGATAGACCAAGGGAAACTTCGCAATCGATAACTGATCTCAGAATTATTCTTCCAGCTGTGAAGTATTAGTTACCTCTTGCACGGACATAAAGATAAGACTTGGTGTCTGGAACCACGTTGGAAGGTTTTGCCTCGAGCACTTGATAGGAACTCCTCGCTAGTAACAAAACAGAAAAAAAAGTTAAGAGAAGTTCTGTTGCCTTTTAACATAAAATCGGTTTCTAAATGGAATGCAATACTTGCCACGTGGATCAATGGAAATACTTTGCTCTTCTGTCTTCAAGACACCCTCCCCCTGTAACAAAAAAAAAATCGATAGAATCACAATTCCTGTGAGGGAAGCTACTTATGGCACAGCCAGTTACAACTCAGAGGTATCACTGCTCTGAAGGAAGCAATTCGAACTATCATTGTTACTTTCCACTAAATCATTCATATAAAAGTAGTACTACAGTCTTTAAGAATGAAGAGTACTGAAAACTGGATGCTCGATTATTCATCTCAACAATTTTTTATCCACTTCATCCTTGTGTTGACAATCACCTGCTTATCAAACTTTAAGAGGTAAGGTTGCATACGGTCATTAAAGGAGGAGGTAGCTCACTCATTTCATGCATCAGCTCCATTGAAATGAACAGAGCCGAGCAATGGCCACGTGTCCAATTTCACCAATCAGCTCATGTTGAATTTAATGATGCAGGGAGTTTTCAAGCTTACATTCTGACAACCAGAAGTTGCTCACGTTGTAAAAAATAATGTAAGACTTGTAACATCATTTTAAACATTTTCCAGTTACATTTAACTTGAGCTGACGTCTACAGTAAATATATGGAGAGGTGATGGTCTAGTGGTATTATCGCTGGACTGTTAGTTCAGAGATCCAGATAACGTTCTGGGGGCCTTGGTTTGAATCCTGCCACTGCAGATGGTGCAACTTGAATTCAATTAAAACAAAAATCCGGAGTTAAGTGTTTAGTAATGACTGTGAATCAATTGTCAGGAAAAACCCATCAGGTTCACTAGTGTTCTTCATGAAAGGAAATCTGCCATCCTTACATGACAAGTGACTCCAGACCCACAGCAATGTGGTTCGGGGCAGTTAGGTATGGAAATGCTGCTTAAGCATGAATGACAAAAGGAAAAGAAATTCTTCTTAGAGCACTATAGAGGAAACATGCATGTCAGGGAAACAATATTTAGATACTAACTAATGAGAGATGACAAACAAGGAGCATTAAATCTGTTGATTCTCCACAGATATTACCAGACCTGCCATCATCCTAATTTATTTAGGATTTCCAATAGTAGCATTTTGCTCTGTCATTACTTTTTACTTGCTAATGTTTTTTGACAGTTAAGGTTTGCTTAATGGCATAACAAATTGAAGCTGGAGTACATTGGGAGTAAATTTTTACCTATCGAGACTCTGAATAGAGTTTTCATTCATTGCATTTCAGCATGCTCCTATAAAAAGGTAGGGTGAGTCACATTCTTAAATCCAATCATTTCAGAATACAGCTCAAAGACATACTGGTTTGAACTGACAGATCAGGAGAGCTAACAAAAGCAAGGATGTTAATGTACCAACTTGATTCTTACACCAATCTGAGAATTCAATGTTACCTTCACTGATGCCAGTATTGTGTTATATCAAATATAATTTATTTATTCCAAATAATATTTCCTAGCCATTGAAATGACATTGACTCCATACTCCTACATAGCTAGGCTATGTCTGCTATTTCAGCAACACTGCGTAAATCGCACTCACATCTTCGGACGCTAATTGGTAAGTAATTATAATGTAGAGCAAAGAAAAATCCACTCACCAGCACTTTCAGTTTCTTTGTAACAACATCACTTAATTTAAAAAAACCCACTGTGTGTACAGCTACTGTGATGGGTATATCGCCAATGGTTAAAGGAACCACAGAGAAATATACAGGAAGGGCTGACTTTGCTTGAACTGTCACATTTCTTTCTTGATTCTTGCCTGTGGCAGGACTGCAAAGATTATCCACTGGCTTCATATATACTTTCACCTGGTTGTATTGCAAAAGGTGTGAGGTTAACACAGACAATATTGAAACAAAAAAGAGTATAGCTGAAAAAAAAAAGACATTTTACTGAATGTTTACATATTGCACACATCAGGACAATTCTCAAGCATACCAATTCAAGTAGGAAATTGGCATTTATACCATCAGACGACAGTGGTGACTGGTTAGTTAGTGGGGGATTCTTAATGCAAAAAATGGGGTCCTGAGGGATAATGGGCACCATGAAGAGATAGATTCTTGCTGTATATGTCACATAAAGGCCCTAAGGCTCTTGTTTCCGAGAAGTATCTATTTTACCTCAGATTACCCTCAATGATTTAAGCTTCAAGTGTTGCTTGACACCAATTCCTTTTCCAAATTATAGTTTTGTCTTTTCCATTAATACAGCCAACGGTTAAAGGTGCTTCCAGAAACTGCTGAAGGTGGTATTTTCCCTATTATGGGGGAGATGTAGTAGGGTCCTATTCTCGACAGATAAAGAAGAAATGGCCTGAATTTAGGTAGCGCCTTTATTTACCTTGTGTCGTCTCAATGTGCTTTACAGCCAACAAAGTGTAGATGATATTGCAATTTGGGAACCTAATGCTCAGTCATGAACAATGACCTCCCACAATCAGCCAACTGAAAAACCCAGACAATTGCTTTTAGTGATATTCCTGGAAGGGTAAACAGAAAGATTATCTCTATTCTTCTTAGCAACATTCATTCACCTGGGAGGCCAAATAGTTTATCCATTTCATACATGTCTTAATCTGAACATAGCTGACTGGGCTGTATAAAGGCACAGTTGTTAGCACCGCTGCCTCACAGTGCTCGGGACACAGGTTTGATTCCACTGTCAAGTGATTGTCTGTGTGGAGTTTGCACGTTCTCCCCGTGTCTATGTGGATTTCTTCCCACTGTCCAAAGATGTGCAGCTGAGGGTGGATTGGCCATGCTAAATTGCCCATTGTGTCCAGGGATGTGCAGGCTATGTTGGTTAGCCATGGTAGTTGGGGGTGGGTCTGGGTGGGATGCTCTTTGGAGAGTCAGCGCTGATTTGATGGGCCAAATGGCCTCTCTCTGTACTATTGCTCTGTACTATTACCCTAATGCACTTTGTATGGTATGATCTGCCTGCACTGCACACAAAACAAAACTTTTCACTGTACCTAGGTATATGTGACAATAATCAATCAAATTAAAAATCAGAGAGTCGTGGTGGTAACAGGAAATAATTTTGGTCCTTAGGAAGAGGTCAGTGCCTGCTTATGCAATAGATCAGAACTAACGTTTCAGGTCCGGTGACCCTTCCTCAGAACCAGACCCGAAACATTAACTCTGATTTTATCTTTACAGATGCTGCCAGACCTGCTGAGCTTTTCCAGCAACTTCTGTTTTTGTTCCTGATTTACAGCATCCGCAGTTCTTTTGGTTTTTGTAAGTTTAATCCTCGGAATGAAGGGCTTGTCATATGAGGAGTGACTGAGGACTCTGGGCCTGTAATTGATGGAGTTTAGAATGATGAGGGGTATCTGATTGAAACGACTGAGATGCCTGGATAGAGTGGACATGGAGAAGATGTTTCCACTGAGATGAGGAAGAAATTCCTCAGCACAGAATGGTTAATCTATGGAACTCATTGCCATAGAGGGCTGTGGGGACAAAATCATTGAGTGTATTTAAGCTAGAGATAGACCCAGGTTCTTGACTAGTAAGGGGATCAAGGGTTACAGGGAGAAGGCGGAAGAATGGGGTTGAGAAACATATCAGTAGTGATTGAATGGTGGAGCAGACCTGATGAAACAAAAGGCCTAATTTTGCTCCTATGTTTCATGGTCTTAGTTAGTTTCAAATGTTACCTGAATTTCATCGTAGTGGTAGTTGTACAATATTGCTCTCACTTCCAGTTGCTCATTTCTTTTGACTGAATACGGTAGCCGCAAAGATATGAAGAACTTCTTGAACACCTTTATCGTCTTCGGCTCAGCAACACAAAAACCTGAAGGTGATAATAGGAATTTAAATGTATTATTGAACATACATGTATGTCTCCTAGCCTCAATCACAAGTTTCTAAAATAATATTGCTAGAATTTAATTGTTCTTAACCAACCAACATTTGAAATTTTTAGGAAGGAGTATGAATCTCTTGATGCGTTTCATTAATATTTGAATTTTGCAACACCTTAATTTTGCCCATTAATTTACTTTTGTGCATTTTGAAAAATGGAGGATTTATATCATGTGCCTCCTATCAAGGATGAGGCTGCAAGCACACAGATGGGAATTGAGTGCATTCAGCCTGAGCTAACAAGATAGACTGAAGCAAAAGGTAAAACAAGATAGAATCCCTACAATGTAGAAGCAGGCCATTCAGACCATCAATTCCACACACCAAGCATCCAAAAAGCATCCCACCCAGACCCACACCCATCCTATCCTGTAATTTCCATGGCTAATCCACCTAGCCTGAACTTCTCTGAAGACTAGAGAGCAATTTAACATGGCCAACCCACCTAACCCACTGAGCTTTGGACTGTGGAAGGAAACCCACACAGACACAGGGAGAACATGCAAACTCCACACAGACAGTTGCCTGAGTGTGGAATTGAACCTGGGTTCCTAGCACTGTGAGGCAGCAGAGCTAACCACTGAGCCATGACGTAATGTTGAGTCACCAATATCTCTCACCTTATCATCCAAGATTAATCAATATTCCAAGACATTGTTTCTCATTCAACTTCTCATGTTATGTAATAACATTTTTTATTTCAAAAATATACTTTATTCATAGAAATATCTTTACATACATACTTAGTCACTAAAGCAGTCCAGTTCTGTATCGTAGCAAATGCTGATACAAACAAATATTGGAGTTTAACTCTGTCCAACAAACAAATTAAAGGCATTTCTTACTTGCCCAAGGCTATACTTACATATATTTGAGGCACCTGGAGGGTCCAATAACTGACGGACCCCCAATTACCTTCAGCAGGAAGACTTCAGACGGTGGTCTTTCCCCACTGCCCCAGGGCAGCAGCTGCCCCAGGGTTTAGTGCGTCCCTCAGCACATAGTCCTGGACCTTGGAATGTGCCAGTCTGCAACACTCGGTTGATATTAACTCCCTGCGTTGGAAGGCCAACAAGGTTTGGGCAGACCGAAGAGCATCTTTCACTGAGTTGATGCTCCTCCAGGTGCAGTCAATGTTTCTCTCCGTGTGTGTCCCTGGGAACAGACCGTAGAGCGCAGAGTCCTGCATCACGGAGCTGCTTGGGACGAACCTCGACAAAAACCATTGCATCTCTCTCCAGACTTCCTTTGCAAAGGCACATTTCAGCAGGAGACGTGTAACAGACTCTAACCCCACCCCACAACCACTTCGAAGTCAGTGTGAGGTGGTGCAGAAAGACCGGGTGTACACGGAGGATCTCACAGGTAGTTCCCCTCTCACCATCAGCCCAGCGATGTTGGAAAGTTCTGGTGATAAGGCATTCTGCCAAATGTTTTTGACAATCTGCTCCTTAACTGTTTCAAATTAATAAATGGTTCACAGAAGAAGCTCTGGCACTGTTGCACACAACACTGAGAGCATGTGGGCACAGTTCTCTTTACACTAATCATGAGAAATATAGTTTAATGCCAGTATCATCTCACAAATGAATATCAATTCAGGAAAGAGTCTCACCTTTATTGTTAAACATGCCGACCGCCTGAACTTCCCATGTTGTTATTGAATCAGGGAGGACAACATTAAACCTAGAACCAATAACAATACAAACAATGGCTGAGGAAAGGAACTCATTCAAAAGAAACCGCGACCCCTTTCTTTTTGTAAGTCACCATTCCAACCCACCATCATCGCTTTTCATTCCATAGTCTTTGAATCTGTTGGTGCCTTCCATTTCTATGAACCTCCCCAAGCTCTGTCCAAATAGGACACCCCAGCCCTGCAAAAGTTGTGAAACCTCCCTTGGAACCGATATAATGGTTGTCCTTTTCAACCTATCTTCAGCTTTTGGCACGTTTCCTCGCACTATCCACTGTCATAATTGTTGAGTGAGGTCTGTACTCATCTGTCCCCATTCTTACCTTTTCAGTTGATTCAGTGGGAGTTTGTGGTATAGTGGTGACGTCCTTGGGTTAGTCATCCAGAACCACAGGTTAATGCTCTGGCGAGATGAGTTTGAATCCCACCGTGATGGATGGTGAAATTTTAGTTGCAAATCAGTAATGCTACCTCACAGTGCCAGGGACCCCTGTTTACTATGTATTGTTCAATACTACTGACTTAATTTGCTCTGTTATCAATACCAGACGTGAGTGACTGTGTGGAGTTTGCACATTCTTCCCGTGTCCACGTGGGTTTACTCTGGGTGCTACAGTTTCATAGAATCCCTACAGCATGGAAACAGGCCCTTCGGCCCAATAAGTCCACACCAACCCTCAAAGCATCCCACCCAGACCCAGACCCATCCCCCTATAACCCACCTAATCTAAATATCTCTGAACTCTATGAGCAATTTAGCACGGCCAATCCACCTAACCTGCACATCTTTGGGCTGTGGGAGGAAACCGGAGCACCTGGAGGAAATGCACGAAGACACGGGGAGAATGTGCAAACTCCACACAGACAGTGACCCGAGCGTGCAATTGAACCCGGGTTCCTGGCGCTGTGAGGCACCAGTGCTAACCCACTGAGCCACCGTGCCGCATTCCTCCCACTGTGCAAAGATGTGCAAGTTAAGTGCATTAGCCATGGGAAAAAATTGCCCTGTAGTGCCCAGGGATGTGTAGACTAAGTACGTTAGCCATAGTTAATGCCGAGGCATGAGGATAAGGTGGGTTCTCCTCAGAGGATTGGTGTAGAGTTGGTGGGCTGAATGGTCTCTATTTGCACTGTAGGGATTCTATGAACTCTTTTCCAGAACTGCGACTGTTATTCTGCTTTCTTCCAAGGAGATAACTTTGGTCACATTCCATTTGACATCCTCACTGTTGTCGGAAACATCCTCCCGAAACAGAACATTAGTTAATCTGACAAGCAAGACACCACTGAGACACCTTAGCAGCAATGTGTACAATCCCTGAGATGCCCTCCAGCAACTCGCGGAGCACCTTCCAAAATTGTGACCTCTCCTATCTAGACAGAGAAGGGCAGCAGAGACATGGGCAGACCACGCCCTGCAAGTTCCCCTCTGAGCTACTCACCATCCTGACTTGGAAGTATATTTCACTATCGCCAGGTCAAAATCCCAGAACTGACTTGGTAACACCACTGTGGGTCTCTTTATACCCCAAGGACCAAAGAGATTCAGAAAGGCAGCTCATGGCTACCTTCTCAGGAACTGATCAGGATGGACGTTAAGTGCTGGCCCAGCCAGCAATGTCTAGGTGTTGTAAATGTGTAGCAAACTGAAGGTCTCAAGCACACGTATGTGCAGTGAAAGGTTTTAGTAGCTGATAAGGAGAGGAAAGGATGGAGTGGGGAAACTGGGAATAGAACATAATTGATGGAACAAATATATCATTGCCAGTAGGCCATTTGGCTCTTCAAGCATTCTCCACTATTCATTACGATCATGGTTGAGCATCCAACTCAATAGCCTGTTTCCTTTTAACATCCGCATCTCCCATATCCTTTGATCTCTTTAGCCACAAGTGCTATCTACAACATTTTGGCCTCTACTGCTTTCTGAGGTAATGAATTCCACAGGCTCACCACTCTCTGAGGGAAGAAATTTCTCCTCATCTCAGTCCTAAATTGTCTACCCCATATCCTTAAACTGTGTCCTCTGCTCAATCTAAAACTGTTGCTCTCGAGAAGGAAGGGCCAGGTGGCTATGAGGGGATACGTTTTGGAGCTGGAGGCAGTAGATTCTGTCTGATCCACCCTCTCCTTTTCCCGCTAGGGTCTCGTGCCGACCACTTCCTGATGGATACCTGGTTAAAGGTGCAAATTTCTCCACGAAAGACAGGTGATATGGGACAGTCCAACCACTTGGTGTTTGTGTACCAAGGGTCTACGCACAGCTTGATGCAGCTGCACACCAATGTGGCCATCCAGATGAGGGCAGTGTTGGGTATGTTCACCCCCACCCAACCATTCTCCCCCCTTCCCCGCCCACCTTATCTACTGTTTGACACATGATGTACACAGTCTAACATAGACCTCCAAATGAAGTGGAAGATAGCTCAGGTGACTGCAACAGTGCAGGTTCTGGGAACAGGCTAGACCTGCACCACATGCAACAATTGAGAGAGTGCCTCACGCCTGATGACCAGGTGGAGAAGGATCAGCGTTCCCAAAAGCCCAGTTTCTGCCTTGCCTTGCAGATGCGCTCCTCCCAAGATTTTGCCCCTCTGAAACATATTCCCAGCACCTTCAGGTAATTTGTCCCGACAGTGAAGGGGATAAAGGATCCCAAAGAACATGGCCTTGCTGTTGCCTTGATTTACCTCCCAAGGCCAGTTCGAACTGGTCACAGATGCTCATGAGTCTGTGCACTGACAGTGGATCCTAGCAGAAAATGGCAACATTATCTATATACAGAAAGGATTTATCCTGCAGATCTCCGCTGCTTGGAATAAACACCCCTATCAGGCTTACATTCTTCCTGTTGGACCCAGCAACACACCAACAAGCGAGGACAGAGTGGGCAGCCCTGGTCAGTGCATCAGTGGTGATGTGAGAGATAATAAGAGGTTGAGGACTTTGAGGGGAAAGGATGTCTTAAGCCCTTTTAAAATAACCTTTGATTGCCTTTTGGTAATATAACTGACGAAAATGTTGTTTAAACCAATATGTACATTAGAAAGGCACACTTCGTGTGAAATGTCAATAGATGTGAGAAATCTTTCCACTACGTATGTGCTGCACCGAAACACATCAAAACGTGAGACGCATGATATAATTAGAAACTTGTGAAAAGTTAAATAAACAGCCACCCAAATCGCAAGATATATTTTACTGGCAGTTAAGTGGATAAATTGTCCACCTATAGACAATGCTGAAACATAGAAACATAGAAGATAGGAGCAGGAGGAGGCCATTCAGCACTTCGAGCCTGCTCTGCCATTCTTCACAATTGTGGCCGATCATACAATTCAATAGCCTAATCCTGCTTTCTCCCCATAACCTTTGATCCCATTCACCCCAAGTGCTATATCCGGTCGCCTCTTGAATACATTCAATGTTTTAGCATCAACTACCTCCTGTTGTAATGAATTCCACTGGCTCACCACTCTCTGGGTGAAGAAATGTCTCCTCATCTCCATTCAAAATGGTGCACTCCGAATCCTCAGACTGTGACCCCTGATCCTGGACACACCCACCATCAGGAACATCCTCCCTGCATTGACCCTGTCCAGACCTGTTAGAATTTTATAAGTCTCTATGAGATCCCCCCCTCATTCATCTGAACTCCAGCAAAAACAATCCCAACCTGGTCAATCTCTCCTCATATGTCAGACCCGCCATCCCCGGAATCAGCCTGGTAAACGTTCACTGCACTCCCTCGAGAGCAAGGGCATCCTTCCTTAGAAAAGGAGACCAAAACTGCACACTAGGTGTGATCTCACCAAGGCCCTGTCTAACTGCAACAACACATCCCTGCTCCTGTACTCGAAGCCTCTCACAATGAAGGCCAACATGTCTTTGGCCTTCTTTACCGCCTGCTGCACCTACGTGCTTCCCTTCAGTGACTGGTGCACAAGGACACCCAGGTCCCGCTGCACACTCCCTTCTCCCAATTTACAGCCATTTGGGTAGTAACCTGCCTTCTTGCTTTTGCTTCAGCAGTGAATACCCTCACATTTATCCAAATGATACTGCATCTGCCATTGATTTGCCCCCTCACCCAACCCTGTTGAGGTCATGCTGAAGGATCTCTGCATTTTCGTCACGGTTCACCTTCCCACCCAACTTGGTATCATCTGAAAACTTGGAGGTGTTACATTTTGTTCCTTCATCCAAATCATTAATATATATTGTGAATAGCTGGGGTCCCAGCCCCAAACCCCACTAGTTACTGCCTGCCAATTTGAAAAGGACTCATTAATTCCTATGTATTTGCTTCCTCTCTGCCAACCAGTTTCCCATCTATCTCAATACACTTTCCCCCATTCCATGAGCTTTAATTTGGAAATTAATCTCTTATGTGGCACTTTGTCAAACACTTTCTGGAAGTCCAAATATACTACATCGACTGGCTTCCCCTTGTCAACTCTACTAGGTACATCTTCATAGAATTCTAACAGATTTGTCAAGCATGATTTCCCCTTCATAAATCCATGCTGGCCCTGACTGGTCCTGCTTAATTGAATTTTTTTTCAAGAAAAATCATGCTCATGTGCATAATGGGTTATTAATTTGAAATCTTTTACAGTTGATCAACTTTAAAAAAACAGCACAGCCGCTCCCTCCACCTGTTTCAGAGAATTCTGGTATATTCTGCTGGACAATATATTACACTTACTGGTTCTCTCCTGCATGTGTACCAGAATATGTTTTCCAGTGCCAACTCTGTGGAAAATAGCTGCGAATATTGACACTGTACTCATCAAAGACATCATCCTCGTCATCTCCTATCTCTAAAGAAGAACAGATGATTTAGTGGTTGACAGGAACACAGTACAGAAGACATCACACTTGCTGAGTATTATACCGGAATGTCTGACGTCCTGGTTCACTGAAATCAATAACAGAACTTATAACACTAAAACAACATTGTGCCACTTGTATCATATGCCATACCTGTCTCCCTGCAACTGCATTGTTTCATTGACCAGTTTTTCAGGGCCAGTAAGGTTGTTCAGAGGTAATTATGATTTCAGTAAGGAATTCTCACTCAATCAAATGGTTATACCTCTTTCACAATATTTCCCATGCCGTCAAAAGTCTAACCATATAGCTTCTTTTGATTCCCACTGATTAGAGTCTTGAGAGGGCGTCTCAACACCGTACCTCTGATGAAGTGAGGAAGCACTGAAGACAATGTAATGGATAGACCTGCTGGTCACAGATGGGTCTGTGGCAGATGCTGAGGGAATGGATAAGAAGGACAAATTACTTGACCAAATGATGGATGTACACTTGTCCATGATGGTATTGTTATGAGTGCCCATGGCCCAGTTTTTTTTATAGGGATGAAGTTCCCCATTCACTTTGTGGATCTCACCATCATGCTGTGTGGGACTACCACTGTGCGAACTGGAACAGATACCAGGTAGATCCAGCAAATTCAAAGCTGGGCCCCATGAGACAGTCCGAGCCATCAGTAGCCATGGAACAACAGTCTCTAATGTCATGGTCAACGTAGCCCTCACTCTACCATTTCCAACAAGCCAGCAGACTAGTCCTGGTTCAATGAAATGTGCAGGATGACATACTTGATAGAAAGCACAAGGCTGAAAAATGAGATGTCAGCCTGGGAAAGCAACAGTATGGGATTACTTGCATGCTGAGCAATGGAGTCTGCAATGGAAAGGAGTAAGTGATCCCACAAGGGTCTATAAGGGATTGGATCGAAGCCCTTTTATACTCAGTCATGGATGGTGATGGGCAATTAAACAGGAAACAGTAGGAGGCGTAAGCATCCCAAATGGCAAGGCACAGAGTCTCGGTGTTTAGCACTGCTGCCTTACAGCACAAGGGACCCAGGTTCAATTAACCTCGGGTGACTGTCTGTGTGGCGTCTGCACATTTTCCCCGTGTCTGTGTGGGTTTCCTCCAGCTGTTGTTTCTCCTTCCAGAATCCAAAAACGTGTAGGTTAGGCGGATTGGCAATGGGAGGGGGAGGGTTGCAGGGATAGGGTAGGGGATGGGTCTGAATGGGATGCTGTTTGGAGGGTTGGTGTGGACTTGATGGCCAAATGGCCTGTTTCCACACTGTAGGGATTCTACAATTCCATGAAATAACCTCAGTGTTAGGGAGGTGGGGCAGCACATCAGTGCAAAAGACAAGGCTCAAGTATTTGTTTCAATCTTCAATAGTTGAAGACAGTGGGCTTTGCAAAGGCCATGGGGCCCAACCAAATTCCAGCAATTGTGCAAAAGGCTCGTGTTTCACACCTAGACATGCTGCTAGCTGAGTTGTTCTGGTACAGCTACCACATAAGCGACAAACAAAGAACGACAAAGCGAACCAGAATAATTCCCCACCGCTTCCCATACCCCAACTCCACACCACTATCTTTTGATCATCAGCAAAATGAAACAAGGGAACTTTGATATTGCAAGACTGAGTGCTTAGTGGTATGGTGTAAAGACAACAATCTTTCCATCAAAGTCAACAAAATGAAGGAGCTGATCATCAACTTTAGGAAGCAGAGTGGAGGGCACACCCCTGTGTGCATCAATGGAGCTAAGGTAGAGATGGTTGAGAGCATCAAGTTCCTGGGAGTGATGATCACCAACAATCTGTCCTGGTCCACCCATGTTAACACTACAGTCAAGAAACCACAACAACACCTCTACTTCCTCAGGAGGCTAAGGAAATTCAGCACGTCCATAAGATTCTTACCAATATTTATAGATGTGCCATAGAAAGCATCCCATCTGGATGCATCACAGCATGGCTTGGCCACTGCTCTTCCCAAGACCGCAAGAAACTACAGAGAGTTGTGAACACTGTCCAGTCTGTCACGCAAACCAGCCTCCCATCCACTGACTTCATGTATACTTGTTGCTGCAGCAGGAAAGCAACCAACTTAAACAAAGACCTCTCCCACCACAGTTATACCTTCTTCCACCCTCTTCAGTCAGGCAGGAGATGTAAAAGTTTGTGTAAAAGTTTGGAGAAGGTACGAACTGATTCAAGAACAGCTTCCTCCCCGCTGTTATCAGACTTATTAATGGACCTCTCAAATGTTAATGTTGATCTCTCTCTGTACCTTCTCTGCAGCTGTAACACTGTATCTTGCACTCTGTTCTGCTACCCTGGCGCAATTATATAGTACAATTACTGCCTGTAAAGCACGTAAGACAACATTTTTCAATGTATCTTGGTACACTTGACATTTATAAATCAAATCAAATGAATCAATCACGTAGCATTTGTAAAGAAATAACTACTGCCTGATGCACAGTTTGGGTTCAGTTTGGCCACACAGGCCCTCATCTCATTACAGTCCCAGTTCAAACATGGACAAGAGAACCCAATGTAACTCAATGAAGGCCATTGTCATTGACATCCATGTATGATGAAGACTATGGAGAGTTGGGAATCAGGATGAATAGTCCCCTTTAGCTGGAGTCATTCCGAACAGAAAGAAAGGCTGTTAGAGGTCGACCATCTCAGTTTCAGGAGCTCCTCAGGGTTTAGTCCTGGGCGAAAGCACCTTCAGCATTTAACCTTTGCTCCATCAGGAACGTAGGTGCTCGCTGATGATTGCACAATGTTCAGCTGCAGTCCATGTCCATGTACATCAAGACCCAGACAATACCCAGGCTTGTGCTGGTTAGGGAAAAGTGACATTCACACCACACAAGAGCCAGGCAATGACCATCTCCAACAAGAGTTATTCTAACTATCATCCATTGGTCTTCAAAAGCACTGCCGTTGCTGAATCCCCCATGATCAGCATCCTGGGGGATTCCCAAAACCTCTGAAGGTGTGGATGGAGAATATGTAGAGACTGGTCAATTCAATATGACCTGTTTTGTGCAATTGACAAGACAAAGATGGGAGGTTTCCTCACCGTCCCACCAACGCATTACTATTGACACATTCACCATAAACACCACAACACATTGCTTTCCCCTGTGATACTTCAGGAAAATGCAAAATATTCATTGAGTCATGGAGTTGTACAGCACGGAAACAGACCCTTTGGTCCAACTCACCCATGCTGACCAGTTATCCTGAGTTATCCTAGTCCCATTTGCCAGCATTTGGCACATATCCCTCTTAACCCTTCCTAATCATATGCCCATCCAGATGCCTTTTAAATGTTGTAATTGTACCAGCGTCCACCACTTCCTCTGGCAGCTAATTCCATACATGCATATCCTCTATGTGAAAAAGTTGCCCGTTAGGCCTCTTTTAAATCTTTTCTCTCGCATCTTAAACCTATGCCCTCTAGTTTTAGACTCCCCTACCCTGAGGAGAAAAAGACCTTGGCTATTCACCCTATCCATGCTCCTCATGATTTTACAATCCTCTATAAGGTCAGCCTCTGACTGTCCAGGGGAAATAGCCCCAGGCTATTCAGCCTCTCCTTGTAGTTCAAACCCTCCAGCCCTGTCATGTCATAATTGATCAGCTCCATTGGTCTTTCTATTTCAGAGGTTTGCACAGTGATCATTTCTCCAAGCTAATGATGGGCAAGTTATTTGTGTTAACTTTGTAAATGAACACTTACGTCTTCCGATTGTATCGAGCTTCTGTGACTGGTTCTTCCTCACTTCCACGCCAAAGTCACAGCAAGTGAGAAAAACCTTTCTGCATTCATCCTCTTTGATACGAACTGCCCGATCTTTACAGCTACGTTTCATTGGAATTAACGTTAATCCATCCATGCAGCACTTCTTTAGATTGTTGTTATATTGGTTTGCTGTAATATTAATCAAAGCAAATTAAACGGTCAAGTAGGCAGCATTCAACAACATTTTCTGCATTTTGAATTGCAGAGAATACTAGATTGCAATTTGTTATGATCCCAGCTGATGGGTAAATCTGGATAGGCCAAATCCCAGAATGAAGCCTGGGTTGATAGATCATATATTTGGTCCATGGTTAAGTCTGTTACCGTGGTGATTAGTCACAGAAAGTATTCACATGAGGCTGTTCTTTAACATTAGAACATAAACTTATTACACGAAAGAACAAAGACACACTGAAAGCTATGTATATGGGAGTATTATATGTATACTACAGTTAAATAAAACCTAACACAAGCAGCAAAACAAAATTGGAATCTGTTTCCCAGCATTACAGATACTCAATCCTAACTAATATCATTCTGTTCTCCATTTCTTAAATGCTTTCCAGTTTCTTTTACTTGTCTGATGGCCGAAGCTCTCCACTTCAAACAACTCGAAACTTTCTAACCACATTCTCTTGGCTTGGAGCCAAAATTGAACTGCCTCTATGCTATTGGTTCTATATTCCAAAAATGATACTGGTAAATTATTTCATCATGTTTCATTGCAAATTAGAATGCAACAGACACTTTCAAAGAGATTGCTGTTAACACTATCCTTGTGCCTGAATAAGAGGTCACCTATGAAGACAGATTTGTGGATCTGTAGAATTCTTTATTACAGAGCGCTGCAGAAACTGTGTCATTGAGTGTATTCAAGGCTGAGATAGACAGATTTTTAATCAATAAGGGGAAATCAAGGGTTATGGGGAAAAGTCAGGAAAGTGGATTTCAGCCATGATCTCATTGAATGGCACAGCAGACTCCATGGGCTGAATGACCTACCTCTGCTCCTATCTCTTAAATCATTGTGCCATTTCTGTAGAAAGTACCAAATGCTTGTCCCTGGTGCCATCATTTAAAATGGATTTGGTTTCACCCATCAAACAACCGTCCCTCCACTGAGATAGAGGGCAATGGATTTAAACTTGACAGCACATTGCTCAGGCTTGGTTTATATGGTGGCTCAGTGGTTAACACTGATGCCTCACAGCACCAGGGACCCGGGTTTGATTCCACCCTCAGGCAACTGTCTGTGTGGAGTTTGCACATTCTCCCGTGTCTGTGGGGGTTTCCTCCGGGTGCTCCAGTATCCTCCCACAGTCCAAAGGTGTGCAGGTTGGGTGGGTTGGCCATGGGAAATGTGGGGTTATGGGCATAGGGTAGGAGTCTGGTTGAGATGCTCTTCAGGTAGTTGTTAGACTTGATGAGCCAAATGGCCTCTTTCTGCGCTATCGTGAGTCTATGATCGGATCTGATTAGAGATCTGGTTCTGTTTTGCTTATAAGGCTTAACCGAGGCCTGTCTAATAAATGAACAGTTGTCTCATGAGCTTTGAAACACTTCTGTAAGATGTTGGACCTTAATTTCACACACTTTGAAGAGTCTGTATAACACCAACTTCTGGATATGTGCAAGCATACTTGGATGAAAAAGCTTCAACTGTCATTTTAGTGAGAACTCGACCTCAAGGAGTTCCAAGATTCTGAGTGTGTAGTGAGGCCCATTGGTATCAGGATGAAGCTGAAATGTACGCTTTCATTCACCCTAGGTGCGTACTTCCTTGAAATTGGAGTAGCAAGTGGACAGGGTTGTGAGGAAGGCATCTGGTACACTTGCCTTTATTGGTCAGTGTGTTGAGTATAGGGGTCAGGAGATCATATTGCGGTGGTACTGGACAGTATTTAGGCTACTTTCAGACTACTGCATTCAATTCTGGTCTCCTCGCTATCGGAAGGATGTTGTTAAACTTGAAAGGGTTCTGACAAGATTTACAAGGATGTTGCCAGGGTTGGAGGGTTTGACCTAGAGGGAGAGGCTGAATAGGCTGGGGCTATTTTCCCTGGAATATTGGAGGCTGAGGGGTGACCTTACAGAAGTTTATCCATGAGGGGCATGGATAGGGTGAATAGCCAAGGTCATTTTCCCAGGATAGGGGAGTCCAAAACTAGAGGGCAGAGGTTTAAGGTGAGAAAGATTTAAAAGGGACCTGAGGGGCAACTTTTTCACACAGAAGGTGGTGCGTGTATGGAATGAGCTGTCAGAGGAAGTGGTGGAGACTGGTACAATTATAACATTTAAAAGACATTTGCATGGGTATACGAATAGGAAAGGTTTGGAGGATATGGGCCAAATACTGGCAGATGGGGCTAAATCAGTTTAGGATATCTAGTCAGTGTGGGTGAGCTGGACCAAAAGATCTGTTTCCATGCTGTACATTTCTATGACTCTATAATTATAAATCAAAATATACACCCTTGGAATTTCCATTGACCTTGTGGAGGAGAGCAGTTCAGCTGATTCACGATCAGTTTCACTTTGGCTAACTGAATAACACTGCGGAACTGAAACCTTCGGCCACAAGAGACAGAGTTGACGAGTTTAAAGCACATGCTTCACTCTGTCACTGAAAGTCAAACATAATATCCCACTTGTTGCCATTGTGCAATATTTGTGAAGTATTTCAAGTGGAAGATTGCATAAAACACAAACATTCTGTTAAATGTTTATGTGCTAAGATTGCAGCAGATACATCTGAATGTTAGATGCTGGGGCAAGCTGACTGATATCGAACAGGTCACCCATTATGCACCAGTTTACCATTTTACTTCCAACAAAATAATGGAATGGGATATGTAAACATTGAGACGAGGAACAGGAGCAGGCCATTCAGCCCTTTGAGCCTGCTCCACCATTCAATATGACCATTCTTGATCATCCTACTCAGTACCCTGTGCCCAACTGAAGTCCTATATCATTTGCTCCCTTTATCCTGAAGAGCTATATATAACTCCTTCTTGAAAACATTCAATGTTTTGGCCTCAACCACTTTCTACAGTAGCAAACTCCACTGGCTGAATACTCTCTGGGTGAAGAAATTTCTCCTCATCTCAGTCCTAAATGGTCTACCCCATATTCTTAGGCTGTGATCCCTGGATCTGGATTCCTCAATCATCGGGAACACCCTGCCTGTGTTGATCCTGTCTACTCTGTCAGGCAATGCACACAATGGGAACAATTCACCAAGGGTTACTTTTCATCTGTTTTTGCCAGTTGTTAAAACAAATCCATCTCTACTGCTTTTCAGTAAAAGGTTCAATGTGCTTCAGCTTCTGTGCATATATTCCACATTAAACCTGATCTTAAATATTTCTTTTAAATGCAAAGACGAACATGTCTTGACATTCAATGCATTGAAGATAAAAGTGCATTCTTACCTTTTCCCATATACTGTTGTTGAATGTCCAATGATCTTTTCATCCTTTTGTTATCTGTTTTGCAGGAATATCCTGTAAGGATTAATGAAAAATAAAGGAGACATCATCTGGATCGTGCATCTTTGTATTGACCAATTCCACAGATGTGATATTAAAAAGAAATATTAATATTTATAACCCAGTTATTGAAATAAGAAATCTTATAGACTCATAGTGAGAGCGAATGTGCATCTTTCATATTGCCTCATAGATTCCAGTAACCAGCTGAAGATTGATAATGGCTATCTGCTTCGTTCCTCAGTTGTATTCAATGAGAATTAAATGAAAATATAGTTTTTAGTGTGAAGGGCTACAAGGGATAGGGAGGAAACTGGGAGCGTGGTGCTGAATTGGGTGATCAACCATGATTTTATTGAATGGTGGAGCAGATTCGATGGGCTGAGTGGCCTACTCCTATGTTTCTAAGCTATGACCCAGATCTTTGGGACTCTGGGCAGTTGGAGAATGGACCAATCCTGAAGGATTCGATTCCCGACCACTCGGAATGCCTGCGACAGGTTAACTTCTGAGACGCAGTTCCCCAGCACCTGGAACCTACTGTATTCCCCAACTCTTGAGTTACAGTCGGAAGTTGCCGTGGATTCCTCCCTGAATAGGTCAGCTGGAAGGGTTACCTTAATGAAGAGCTGCTCAAACTCCTTCCTCTCCGTAATATCTGACTCACCAATCATGAAGGCTGTTCCATCATCCCCCTCCCATCCCGTAACTACTCAAATCTGGGATTGACACCCACCAACAACACCCTCCCATTCCTCCCCATGACTGATTTTCCTCTGGACCCGATCCCAGCCAACCCCTGCCCGATCTAATATCCCCCTTTGCCCTGCCAGGCCCCTCTCCTCCCAGCCAACTCTGAGCTGTCTCCTTGTATCATCATTAGGCCCAACCTGACTCACCCCCCGCCCCCCTAACATCAACATCCGACTCAATATGATCAGTGCCTGGCCCCTCTCTGCCCACTTACCACATATTACTCCGCCTGGCACTATCCACTCTGCCCTCTGCTACTCCAACTACCCTATCTACTCTGCCAGCTTGCTCCCTATCCACTTTGCCCCCTTACGTACCCAGTTGTCCTATCTATCCTTCCCATCCTCCCCATCCTGCCACCATGCCACCCAACCAGCATTGCCACATTCCCTGGCATGTCACCATCCCACCCTTGTCTGCCCACCCAACAAACCTGACACTGACACCCACCTGGCCATGTTTTCCCTGTTGCCACCCTACCCCCTCACCCACATGCACTGCCTCCCTGTTCTTTGCAGCTCCATCCATTTATCTGAATCATGTCTGCTCACTAGCTCATTGAACACAGTAGGGGGGCATTTGGTCAAGTCAGTCTGTGTGTCCCCTTAAAGGATTGAACCATTTGTTCTTAGAATCAAAGAAATAGGGACGGAAGTAGGCTGTTCAGCTCCTCGAGCCCACTCCACTATTTAACAGGATCATGGCTGATCCGATGCTCCTTTCCTGCCCTATACCTGTAAACCTTGATTCCCCTCCTTATCAAGAATCTGTCTCAGCCTTAAATATACACAAGGTCTCTACTCCCACAGGTCTCTGAGGCAAGGAATTTCAAAAACTCACAGCCCTCTGTTTGATTTCTTTCTTGCAAAATGTCTTTTATCACGAATATGTGCACACTTCCCCCTTAAAAGTTAAAATTCAATAAATAATGTCCTTTTAGTCAATGCATTCGAAATTGCGACAACTCGTGATTATCAGAAAATTCTTCCCATCCCAGTGCTCTCCCACTGTGCAACCAATCCTGCAGCAGATGTCTCAAACGTGTGCCTTTTGGTTTCCTTCTGTCATTGCTTAACTTCTCACCATTTAGTGTGGCACGGTGGCTCAGTATTTAGCGCTGCTACCTCACAGCGCCAGGTACCCGGGTTCAATTCCACCTTCGGGTGACTGTCTGTGTGGAGTCTGCACATTCTTTCTGTGTCTGCGTGGGTTTCCTCTGAGTGCTCCAGTTTCCTCCCACAGTCCAAAGATATGCAGGTTAGGGTGGATTGGCCATACTAAATTGCCCCATAGTGTCCGGGTATGTGTAGGCTAAGGTGGGTTAGCCATGGGAAATGCAGGGTAATGGGGATGGAGTAGATCTGAACAGGATGCTCTTTGGAGGGTTGGTGTAGATCAATGGGCCGAATGACCTCTATTGGTTCTTTGGGAATTCTACTCTAGGAATCGCCTTACTTTACTTCACAGAATAGTTTGACAGCTTTATTAAAACATCATACTCTGTATAGAGTAGTGGGAAACGTTGCTTCCATTGGTGGAAGATTGAAGAATCGGAAGGGAAATGGCAGAAGAGCCTAAGGTTGCCAAGAGATTTGAAAATAGAATGTCTTGTTGAGGTAAGTGGTTAGGACTGGAGGACTCTACCTGAGAGTTGGGTTGAGGCAGAGACAACCTTGGCTAGGAACTTCGCCAAGTCCCAAATAGGAGACGAAATAGGCTGCTCAGCCCAATGAGTCTCCTCCGCCATTCAATGGATGATTTGATCATCCTCAGCTCCACCTTGCTACCTTGTCCCTACAAGCCTCAATTTCCCGAAAGATTACCAATCTGCCTCAGCTGTGAATCTGCTTCATGACCCAGTCTCAACAGCCCTCTGTGGTAAAGAATTCCCCAGATTCACCGTCCTCTGGAAGAAAGAAAAAGTCCTCCTCATCTTTGTCTTAAAAGGGCGACCCCTTAGACTGAGACTCTCCCACAAGGTGCAACAACACCTCTCCATATCTACTCTCTCAAACCCCATAATAATCTAAAATATTTCAATAAGATCTCCCCCCAGTCTTCTAAACTCCAAACAGTACAAGCCTGAACCAGAGCAAAAGAACCGTAAGTAAGGAGAAGAGGGAGGAATGGGACTAGCTGGGTTGATCTTGCCATGGGCTGACAGTGAGCCAATGGGCAAAATGGCCTCCTCTACGCTATAACCTGCATCCATTCCATGTCTCATAAACAGCCATATTAAATCTGCTCCTGAATGTTTTTTTCCTTGAAAAGAACAATCTTAGTTTCTCAATTCATTTTGCACAATTGGCATCTATAAATTCTTCTACTACTCTCCAAGGTGTCCATTGCATTCTCTCCAATGCATTAACAACTTGCGAATGCGTAGTGACCAGAATTCTAGCTGAGACATACAGAATCACTTTGCCACTGACTCAGATGTATGTGGGATAATTTGGTGCTTCTCACCTAGTTCTCCACTTGTACAGTGAGGATTTAGATGATCTTATTTTTGTTTTATAAAGACAGATCAAGTCGTCTTGCCCCCTGCAAATGTCTGAAATCTTTAACGAGCACTTTCCAAGCAAGGTATATTTGTGAGCAGGTTTTCTTTACAACTTTATCAGTTTTAAAGACTGTTGCTGACCACCACCTTGCACTCTAGTTTCTTACTTCCATGTGCTTACGACATTGTATCGAGATCTGAAATTTCATCTTTTTTCTGCTTTGTTGGCTTACCAGCTCGAATTTCCGACACGTGAACGTTGGAAATAAATGTCAGGCCAGCATCCATGAAAACACCAGCACTGTTAGCACCACCTCCATAAGTGCATCCAAGGTCATAAGAATTCATCTCTTCAAAGACCTACTCAGAAGCAAAAAGTGCATTTTGAACATTTCACTTGCGTGATTGCTGAGAGTAAGGTGAAGTCACCACCACTGTGCGCACCATTCGAGACAGAGATGACTGGTGGTCAGTTAATTTGAGAGTTACAACACTTCAGGCAAACAGAGAGGTTGAGAAGGACAGCCCATCTCAATGGCCTCAGTCAGTGTAGAAATTGAACCCACACTGTTGGTGCTATGCTGTATTAGAGAGCATCAATCCAGTCAATTGAGCTAAGTAATGCTTTGGCAGCAGCTCTATTAACAATGTACCTTATGACTACGAGGATGTTACAAGACACAATAGATGTACCTTTGTATTATTACCCTGAGCAGCACATACTCGAATAGTTAATTTCAATTCTGGGTATTGCAGGTAAAGACTTTTCCAACTCACAGCAATGGAGACAATCAACATTTATGAAGATGTCCCATAGCCAATTGTGGGCATGGCATCTGCATGGGTACCACTGGAAGGTGATTCATCGCAAATGCCTACCAGCATGCACAAAAAAAAATCCTTGACAAATCTACTTTCTGGTTTCACAAATCATTGATCTTGGCACAATGCAACAATGACACTGTCTCCTAAATGGAGAACACTGTCACGTAACTGTTCAGTAAAACAAAAATGAAATACCACTGGAAGGAAAGGGTGGCACACGCCAGAAATAATGCAATGTTCTTGTCTGCTCAGTGTAAGGTATTTTAATTGGATACAATGAGGGCTGAGATTGCTGTGGTTCAATGACGTGATTTTCAGAAACGAAATTCCAAATCCTGCAGAACCAGGAGTGCAGTTCACTTACTTTCGCAGGTTTCAGTTTATTCTTGCTGTTGAGAACATAGACTGCTGTATCCACAATGCCCAGGGACAGTTTGCCTTGGTCTTCAGTTTTAATATGCAGGCTGACCATCGATCCTGGTCTGTATGTATCGGGCATATCTTTTATTGTAATCTGAGGCAAAACAACACGATAACACTGGACCGTCAAGTAACGAACTGCACAATTTTCTGGAAGTCCCTCCCAATACCAGCCCGACTACTCAACACCACCTCCCCTGACAATTCCCTCAACCCTCATATTTGAGCCTCTTTGTCCATATTGCTTGCTGTTCAGAGATAAACACCTCTGGAGCAGGTGGTACTTGAACCTGAGCCCCCTGGGAGTAGATCTGGCGACCCAACCTCTCCCAAAAATTCTGTGACCCACTCATGTGCAGCATTGGTCTTTGCAACTCATGTCCACTATAAAGCCCAACATGAGGTTGGGGAGCCTGGCATGTTGTGAAATCTCTTTGGACTCTCTAACTGCCGCAGAAGAGAGGCTAAGCTTTACAAGATAATGTCTAGATGAGTGCTCTCACTGTTTCTGAAGGATCTCCACTGAATCTGAAGGAATGTAGTAAGTCACTAGAACCACAATGCAGTTGGTGCCAAAGTCAACAAAGAAAGCTATTTGGAAGCCGCAATAATGAGCCTGCCTCAAAGAGTTGAAGAGCTCTTACATAGTACTTTGGTAGTGACCCTATCTCTGAGCCAGGGAGCCCAGGCTCAATTCCCACCTGCTCCAAAGCACTGTAATCTGAACAGATTGATTTATTGGGAGTTTGTGTGGCACAGTGGTAACGTCCCTGCCTCTGAGCTGGTTGGCCCGAAGTCCACCTGTACTGGAGGTGTAACATAACATTTCTGAATGCGTCAGCGAGAAACTGTCACGGGAGTACCACACAATCATTTTATGGAGCTTTCCTCACATTCCATCACTACACTTCCCTGGCTCAATTGATACCAGAACTAAAGGAAAGATAATTCCCAGGCAAACAACAGTCTAACAGAAGCAGCGGATAAACGTGAAGGCAGATGTTACCAAAGTTCATCAGCATTGATATAATTGATGTGAACTTTTCATGTTAAACAAATAGTAAGCTTGGTTCCTTTTTAACTCCAGCAGATAAACAGTTAGATATTAAAAGAAATTGAAATGAAAAGGATTGTAAGCTGCCACCTTCAATGGGATGTCACCACCAGACACACATTTCCATCCCCTCCCTTGTCAGTCTGCTGCAGGGACCGTTCCCTATGGGCCACCCTGGTCCACTCCTCCTCCCTTCCCAACCCTTCCCCACAGCCCCACGGCACCTTCCCCTGGAACTGCCAAAAGTGTAACACCTGCCCATTTACCTCCTCCCTCCTCAGTATCCAAGGTCCCAAAGACAGCTTCTAGGTGGAGCAGCAATTTACCCGAGCTTCACCCAGTAAAATCTGCTGCATTCGCTACTCACAATGTGGTCTCCTCTACACTGCGAAGACAAAATGCAGTCTGGGTGACTGGTTTGTGGAACACCTACTTTGTGTCCTCATAAATGACTCTGAGCTTCCAGTTGCCTCCCACTTCAACACAACTTTATTTCAGGCTTGCTGCAGTGCTCCAGTGAAGCTCAGCCCGAGCTGGAAGAGCAACACCTCATTTTCCACTTGGGAACCCTGCAGCCTTCTGGTATCAATACTTAGTTCAATAATTTTAGAGCCTTAACACCTTCTTCCATGTCCTTTACCCACCCCTGCACTCCAGGCCTTGTAAATGACATGGGCTGCTTTCAGCACAGCCAACCCATTTTCACCTAATTACGGTCCTCATTATTATCAGCTTTTCTCTCTCCCTAGCTTGCTAGTATCCATCTCCCTGTCTGCCTAGCTATTGTTCTATCTCTCCGGCCACTGTCTCTGCCAATCTGCTCATTTCTACTCTCTCCCACCACCTATCTTTAGCATATACACCAACCTTTCCCTAGCTACAAGGAAGAGTCTCCAGACCGAAACGTTAACTCTGCTTTCTCTTCACAGATGCTGAGTTTCTCCAGCAATTTCTGATTTTGGAACAGTTACATACAATGAGGGTAGGGAGACTTCAAAAGTGTTTCACTATCAATAATAAGTTGTCGAATAACATAGATATTTCTGTTTTCTCCTGTTAGCACGTAGGTGACTAATTTCTTCCTCAATATTTGTATTTAACCTGTAATTTTCTTGTCACTCAACCTTGCACTGTAGTTTTGCTATATGCAGGCAAAAGCTATTGACATTTTTTGAGGATGATTATTTAATATTGGTCATTTGCTGTCCATTGCAACAAATGGAGTAATATTGAGGCCTCCTCCTCAACCCACCTACGGAACAAGGCCAGGCCACACATTATCACTAATACTCTCACCTTGCCTTCACAGACATCCTTCACATCAATCCAGGCAGAATTGGCCACCATCTCTGTATTGCCCTTGATATTGGCGTAATAGTAGATGACTAGCCGGAACGCAGGAACCATGGCTGTACTCAGTTGGACGGGGATTTTTACGAAATCCCCTTTCAGAGCTTTACCCATTTTAAGAATTTTGCCTTTGCTAATAGCCTGCGGGGATACGAACACATTGTCAGAGCATGCGTAGCCAATGATCTCACAATCCATATGTGCAAGTTGACTTGTGTATGCACATGTGCGTGCGCAAGCATGGTCACTGCCTATATGTCAATTCATATTTGATTCCATTTTGCAAGTGTAGGCATGGATCTGTATCTGTAGTGGCTGATATCTCCTTTATCAAGAAAGGAGCAATTAAAAGTCTAAATTGATCGGTTTGCTGTCAGTCATGATAATGGTTATTCTGCCATGCCACCTGAATCCTTGTTTAATCACTGTGTAAGAATGTACTCACAATGTAGTAGTAATGTTTGCTATCTTGACTGTCTGGAGTAGAGTCTGATCGTACTTCTGCCAAAATTGAGCTACTTGGATCTATAACATCTCGTGGCACATTGATGTTGAGATATCTCTTGTTGTTGGAATGGTACATGCTCACATTTTTGTTCGCTTCAGTGGTTTCTGCTCCATCCCCAGCTATCACCTGGCAGAACAAGACAAACATTACATTATTCAAGCTGTACTCACTCAGTAGCTATTTACACGATCGGATAAATGGACATTTCTCTCTGAAGAACTTGGTTAATCAATGCCTTACATATCGGCTTGTGGGGGAGGGGGTGTTTCGGTCAGCTCGGTTGTCTTGACATTTGGTTTCTGAAACAAGGTGACTGGGTTTCAGACCCCATGCCAGCTGAGGCTACCAAGAAGGACTCTCCTTCTCAAAGACTCTTATTTGCCTTTTTAGCAATTAGGAAAAGGCAATAAATGCTGCCTCTTTGGTGACTAAAAACAACTGCGCTCAGTTCACAGGCTCTTCACAATGGAGGGTTTTGGCTGGATAGTAGGCTGGATAGCTTGGAGTGTCAGAGACTGAGGGCTGACCTTATACAGAGTTATAAAATCATGGGAAGCATAGATAAGGGGAATAGCTGAGTTCTTTTCCTTTGGGGGTGTTGCAGTTCAAGTCTCGCAGGGATATTTTTAAGGTGGGAGGAGAAAGATTTAAAAAGGACATGAGGGACAACTTTTTCTGGCACAGAGAGTGTGGAATGTGTGCAATGAGGAAGTGGTGGATGTGGGTACAGTTACAATGTTTAAAAGACATTTGGAGAAGTTCATGATTAGGAAAGGTTTGGAGGGATATGGGACCAGGCAGATAGGGCTAGTTCAATTTGGGAACATGGTTGGCTTGGACTGGTTGGACCGAAGGGTCCGTATCTATGCTGTATGACTCTATGACTCGACTCTTGCCTGAGGGGTGTGACCCTCAGGTTAAAGTCACCATCAGTCTAGTGAGAGAGCAGCCCTATGGTCTGATAGGTCTTTGGCAACCAAAGTATTGCAAACAGCATGTGCGTTAATGTGCTCCCTTAATAGTCAACATTCCAGATCTTACCTGTCTGTTATCAGGCTTCATAGATTCATAGAATCACTACAGTGTGGAAACAGGCCATTCGGCCCAACACGTCCACACTGCTCCTCCGAAGAGCATCCCACCCAGACCCATTCCCCTTCATTTCCTACGTCTAACCCATCTAACCTAAACATCCCTGGATACTATGGACAATTTAGCATGGCCAATCCACCTGTCCTGCACATTTTTGGACTGTGGAAGGAAATCGGAGCACCCGGAGGAAACCCATGCAGACACGGGAAGAATGTGCAAACTCCACACAGCATGTGATGTCAGACCCACAGCAAAATAATTAACTTTTAACTGCACTCTTGTTAATAAATGCTGCCCTCATCCCATGAATAAGCAAAAATAAACAAAGTAGCCTGCTTGACTGGTACACCTTTCACAATTTCAATGTACACTTCCTTTAACAACAACACACAAGGACAGCAGTGGACTCGATGGGTGGAATGACTTGCTTCCACACTGTAAGGATTCTATGTTTCTATGTATCGTCTATTGGAGCCGCTCACCAATGCTTCTTTGGCAGCACCTTCCAAAGCTAGGAAGGTAGAAGTAAATATCACCACCCATGACTTCTCCTGACACATTATACTTACATGTAACTAATCTCTGCTCCTTTACTGTGAAAATCAGTGTCAAAGTTCTGGAATTCCCTGTGTAACTGCAAGTGGGTGTGCTTATATCACTCAATGGTAGAGTTCAAAAAGGTAGCTCACATTATCTTCTCAAAAGCAATTAGTATTTGTATAATAAAAGCTGTCCTGTCCCGCAAACGTTGCCTCCCATGAGCAAGTAAAAAATGTGATCATAAACTCCAATTCTAGCATTGGTGAGGCAGCTCAAGGTGACACGTACCGATGTGAAAGAGATATACCTTTTCTCTACATTATGTCATGTCGACTTCACACCCGAGCACAAGAATTTCGAGCAGGATTAGGCAAATCAGCCCTTCAAGCATACCCCAACATTCATTATGACCAGGCTGATCGCATCTAGGTCTCAACTCCACTTTCCTGCCCGGTCTCCATAACCCTTCAACCCATTACTAATTAAACATCTGCCTACTCCTTAAATTTACACAATGTTCCAGGATCCACCATACTCTGAGGTAGTGCATTCCACACATTCATGACTCTTTGAGAGAACTAATTTCCCCTCATTTCTGTTTTAAGTCTGCCATTCCTTAACCTTAAACAATAACTTTTCATTTCAGATAGCCCCACGAGGGGTAACATCCATTTGCTTTGTCAACTCCCTTTAGCATCTTATGTACCTCAATTAGATCTCCTCTCATTCTGTTAAACTCTAGGGAGTGTGGGCCTGAACTTTCCAATTTCTCCTTATAAGAAAAGCCTTTCATCTCTTGAATTAATCTTGTGAACCTTCTGTAAACTGCACTTTTCTAATCTCGATCACTAATAGAATATTTTTTATAAATAAAGTGTACTTTTGGGGGAAAGAATGGGTAGCACCTGATGATTTGAGGAATAACTGCCCAGATTTGCATCAAATGGAGAGCATGAGACATGTATAGTTGCTGACAGTCACTGGTATTGGTAATGGCAATAGTGTCATGTAGGAATTTGAGACTCAAACAAATAACAAAAAGAAATGGGAGGCCAACAGTAAAGGTACCACGGCTACTAAGGGTTGAAAAGGTGAATGGCTCCAGTGTGGGTAGACAAGGACTGAGGCCAGAGGTGAAAGAAGGTGAGGAATGGAAGATGACATGGAGGAAGGAGTTGTGGAAGAGGACACTGTGCTATTGAGAATTGAGTGCTTTGGGACCTCATGCGCAGGAGTCTGGGCAACTTGGGAGTGTGGAATGTTGGGCCTGCGGACGGAACAGGACTGAGAACTGATCGGGATGGTTTGGGTGAAACAGGGCAGCCGATTGGGTCGGATGGGTTGGCAGCATGTCAAGGCTGAGTCACAGGATGGTAGGATGCACGGGAGGTACAGGCTGGCATTTGTGATTGGCATGGCTGGGCAGGAATGGAGTTTAGAGCTTGCAAAGGAAGGTAGCATGGGGTAGGGATGGAGATGATATGAAAGGTGTAGCATGGGAACACCATCAGAGTGAAAGCACTGAGGTTGAACAATGTTCTGGGATAGAGGTTTCAAGAAGTACTGTTGAAATGCAAATATCACTCTCATCCTATTACTGTGTGAGCAAGAGAATAACAACAAAGTAACTTATACTGGAGGGATTTGGCAAAGGGAGGTGACAAGAGGCGGGTGATAGCATTGTGCCCCATTGTAAGGGAAAATCCTGAGCCATCCACTTACCATCCAGCTAACTGGATTAGCTCTCCCCACTTGTGAAGAAACAATTTGCCAACAAAGATACAAATTTCACCGTAACTCCTTTCTCGATGCAAATAAGCCACATTGCACCTCTATGATAAGGAAATACATGCACGACATATTCAATGCCATCTTTGGAAATGCCATACTGAAAGATATTATTGGTGACAGAATCGTCTGGAATATATTTTCCAACCACACACAGTAACAAATTTCACTGAATGTCTGTAAACCTTGTGAGCATGAACATGAAGTAGAAACATTCACTCTCACCTTAATGTTAAAAGGATCTGTCTTGTTAGCCAGCTTTTGTATTATCAACTCGACCTGTCCGTTTTCCATTGTATTTTTTGGCATTGTTCCTTCCAGCCTAACAGGAACACCCGAGGCAGGAGTTCCATCAGGATATGTTACCTTGGCCTGCAAAATGAAACAATAGCTAAGAAAGCATCACTCAGGTGCTCAGTAACTGATTTAAGAATTTGTCTTCACTGACCAACTGATTCAGCTCGATTTCCCTTGCCTGAAGATCCATTAAGCCCCTGCCACAATCTGGAGCTGGGGGGTTGGGGGGTGCGGAAAGGGGAGAGGTGCGCCATCAATTATGCGAGTTACTTATAAAATACTGAGCGCCACATCAGGTGGAGCTACACCCTGAGACGACTGTTGTGGATAAATCTGCCTGTTTCTGGAGACATACAAATGTTGAAAACTGTACTCTGGTGCCAATCTTTCTTTTGGACAGGCATAATTACTGGAAATGCATTTTCAATCTGATTACACAGATGCAGAGAGAGGAATAGCATTGGCCAGTTGTCCATTTTAGTTAATTTAGTTCCTTTCCTAGGTCATGCTGGACTTTGCTCTTACTACCTGCACATTTGACAGTCAAAATACTATTGGCTAATAGTGGCTAATCTGAATGGGCCCTTAATAAATGTCCTTCTTTGTTCTCTAATAACATATAGAAAGGTGTTGAGGCCTGTCCTTGGTCAACGGCTGGCATTCATCTCTAATCTGCATGTCTAATAGTAAATTGACAAACTATTTGCAGTTGGTAAATAACAAATGATAATTTCATGGTAATATGTACACTGCGCAGATAACAGTCAAACTGCCATGACCTGTGTGCCACACATAGAAATGTGTTTCTCATTGATATTAGTGGCTGCATATTTGCATGTGTTCGTTTTCTACCTGTTACCTTGGCCACATTACTGCCTAAAAATTGCAGACATTAATGAAGAGTTCCATATTACGAGGCCAATTCCATGCTGTTTCATACCACCGAGTCCAAACTTACCAGCACATAGAATGGAAACCGTGGTGCAAAGTAATCTCTTGTTTTTGACAAATCGATTATGTACGGCGAGGAAACAAGCTTAACGTTTTTGACTTCGGCCTCTTCCATTTCCCCACCTGCAGGGGAGTAAAAGGATGCATCCATTATATCATAGACTCCCCACACACAATCAGACCAACAAGTCCTCACCAACCTTCCACCCAGTAACTCTGCATTTCCAGTAGCTAATGCACCTAACCTACATATCCTTGAACACTATGGGAAATTTAATGGAGCTGATACACCTAACCTGCATATTTTTGGACTGTTGGAGAGTGACCAGAACACCCAGTAGAAACCCACACCGAGACAGGGAGAACATACAAACTCCACACAGTCATCCAAGGCTGCATTTGAACCCAGGTCCTTGGTCGTGTGAGGCAGCAGTGCTAACCACTGAACCATCATGCTGCCCATCAACCAGCCAGCCTGCCGCTGATTTTGTGAATGTGTTTTACTTAGTTTGAATTATTGTACAATTTTATCTAACTTGTGATGAAATAACACAGTCTGCAACTTTTGATGGGAGAGTGCAATTGACGCTCTGTTAATAATTAATAGAATTCAAGGGAAACTTTATAAGATCCTTTCTCTTCTATATATGGGGTGGGGGCTACAGAATAACACAGAATAATGATTCTGTAGAAATTTTGCAGTCCTCCCTTCCATTAACATATGGTCTGTCAGTGCATATTTTGGACTATCTGTCCATATATATATCCACCTGTGGCAGATGGTGTAATAAATTTTTTTAAAAATTGTAATAAATACAGCTAGTCTGATGGTGACTATTGATTATTTTAAAAACAATCCCAGGAAAGGTATTATTGTGAAAGAGGGACCAGACTTGGTCCTGGGATTCTGGCGCTACCTTATACATGAAGATTGGACAAACGAGGCCTGCATTTTTTTTAAGAATTAGAGGTGATCTCATTGTAACTTGCAAATTACTTAAATGGATAGTCAGGGTGGATGCAGGTAAGATTTTTCCCCTGGTTTGGGAGTCTGGAACCAGGGAGTCACAATTTAAAAATTAAGGTGATATCTTTTAGGAACTGGCTGATTATTTTTACTCAGAATCTTTGGAAAACTTGACCCCAAATGACAGTGAAGTCTCAGTTAATGAGTATGGCATTATGAGAGGTTAACATTTTTGTTTGATTATCAATGGTGTAGAGCATTAACAGGATAGTGTTGGAGATACTAAAGCTATTAGAGTGTTTGCATAATCATGATTGTTTCAAGTGGCAGCCATGATGGGCTGAATGGCCTACAAATGTTCCTGTGTTCCTACCAGATGTATCTTACTGATGCATCTTGGAAAGGAGTTTCAGAGTTAGGAGAAATGTGGTGGCAGTGCTGGGAGAATCTCCAGAGGAAACAATCCTTCCTTTGTTTGGAAACATACTGATCCAGAAAGATCTCTTGCACACATTTCTCGAACTGTTCCCCACCCCGACTTTGTCATTTACACTGCTATTTTTCCTGTCCGTTTCAGAAGAGCTGGAGTTGCCTATTATCACCAGGACAAATGCACTTGCATTTTTCAGTAATTTACCTGAAAAGTTGATCTTCCTACTTCTGCTCACTCTTTAGTGGCCTATTGGCTACACCCAAGAATGAAACAGCTTATCTGCCATTCACTAATGTGAGCCAAATTGATTCCTTTAACTCTTATACTAGTGCTACAGCAGTACATTTGAGAAATATTACCAATATCTCCTTGATTTGATTGCCTATTTGTCCTGAATGTAGTCCAACAAGTGATATTAAATACACCTTTGTCCTCTTGCCTTAAGCCAGGAATTGGTGCTACTGGATTATCATTTCATTAACTTGAGTTCATATCTTGCCAAATATTTTTACCATGCACTGCCAATCAAGTCACATGCACTACAAATCCAACTTAGTGGACATTAGATTTCTTCCCTGTCTGCTGCCTGTTATCCTAAAGTCCTCTTTGCATCTTGTATCTCATGCCCCAATGACTTATTGTATTTCATCTAATTTTGCAAAACTTTGTCAACCTCCTTCCTAGAAAACTGGTTCAACTACTTGCCTGGACAACAATGGTCCAACACATCTGATGTCTAATATATACATCCTGCTTTTGTGCTGACCGCAGGGTCACAGGAATCTGAATCTCACTCTCTGGTACAATTTATTGGCCTAAGATTCAACCTGCCTCATCTCACTGTACATCATAAGCAACAAAAGCTGGTACATGCCATAACCCAGGCATTATTGCATCCAATGTCTTACACTCAGCCTACCTCCCTCAGATCAGCAGAATCCATCTGTAGGATCAACAAGGTGTGGAGCTGGATGAACACAGCAGGCCAAGCAGCATCAGAGGAGCAGGAAGGCTGACGTTTCGGGTCTGGACCCTTCTTCAGAAATGGAGGAGGGGAAGGGGATTCTATTTATTTCAGAATCGCCTTCCCCTC